TTTGTTACATTTTGAATGCACTATTTTTTGCTTGCAAAAGGGCATTGATGACTGTGTTGCCACCTTTATATATACAGTCTATGGTTGCCACTCTCCCTTAGGTAACAGATCTGAGTGCTTTGTCCACTCTTTTTATACATCTATGAAAACCATAACAGCCACATGACGGCACGCTGTTAACACCATCACAAGGTCACGGGTGAAGTCATCTGTTCTTCCAGGTACTGCGGCCCTCTGGCAAAAACCACCAAGACAGTTTTATAATACTTTCATAATCTGACCTTCAGTGTTTGTTACAACATAAAACCTACAAACAGTAACAATTGGACCAAACTTGGTTGAAAAGTAGACCCAAACTACTTGTTAGTATATTATGGTAATGCTGTTACAGAGCTAAATGTATGCATTATACCCAATTTAACTTTGTTCTTGTATTTTATGATATTTTATACTTATCTTCAGGTCACACTTCACAATACAAGATACATTTAGGCACTGATACGTTTATTAAGACACATTTCAATAGATCATTTGTGGGTTGTTTTTTTAACAAAAAAAGTAAATAACTAAATTAGAAATGCTTGAAGTGACATCTACTGTCAAAAAAAATTCAAAAATTCAAAAATGAAACCAGCTTTCTAGTGTCAAAGCTAAAATCATTACCAAAACCATGCTTACTAGGATTTTGTTCAAATAGAAAACTTTGAAAAATACAGCTTATTTGATTGTTTAATCATTCTTTCATATGAAATGATATGGCACAAAGTCTACAGTTGGAATCAGACACCGTTTAATTAGTAGATTTCCACATACTAGGAATATGCCTTGATGTTTTTGTGCAACTATAAATACAATGCAAAAGCCAAGAGCCATAATATAAAAATAAACATTAGAAGAAGAGAAAAAATATGTTTGAAAATATGCTTTGAAAAGCGGAAGAGCTTTCCGGTTTCACGCATGAATGTACAAAATATTGACATGGGGTTTTGCAAGAGTTCACAGTATTAAGCCTAACATAGAAGAATATGTGCAAGTCATGAGTCAATGACAATAAATCAAGACATGTAAGGACAAACATTGTTTATACTTACTAGAAACAAAACATCATCGGTTTTTAAACCAGATTTTTCTCTCCTTGTTCTTCTTACTGAACTCAAGAAGCAAGGTCATCAGGCCTTTCCTCTAATGGTAGTCGGAAAGCATTCTGGGAAATGGAGGAAATAAAACAGTAAATACGGAGTAGAAAAATCACACATTTCCTGGCAGGCATTGAACATATCAAGCTGAGTGTTGAAGGATGGATATTTTAGAAATGTTATCATAACATATACAAGTAAAGAGGTGTTTGAGGCATCAAACTGTTACCCACAATGCAATACTGACAGGCAACGTCATATCTCCAGTCCGCTCAAATTGAGAACTGCAGAATTTGTTGCAGTGTGATATTTCTCAAAACTGGTGACGGACTGCTTTTGTGATTGTCAATCTCAGATCTAAGAGCATGGCAGTTGAGAAATTGTGTGTGCAAGTGTGTTTTCTAGAGGTGTGTGTGCGGTATGGAGAGGCTACATCAGACAGACTTAACAAGTGTTCCCTGTCTCTCTCCAGCCTATTCTCATCCCCCTGACATGTCGTCGCTGGCGGCAGAAGAAAAAAAAAAAACTTGCGTCCTCCTCCTCCTCTTTCTACACACACACACACACATTTCTATCCCTATCTAGGCCCTCGCCCCCCCTTTCTCCTTCAACAACATCCCCATTCAAGTGCATCAGCTCCAGGCGTCCTTCCTCCCACCCCCTTCCCCTCTGCCTCCCCCTCCCCATCGTTCACCAGTAGCCTAAGCACATAAAAAATACATCAAACACAGCCGCCCGCCCAAGGCCTCGTCACACGCAAAATCATCACTCCCTCCATCTCTCTCTCTCAAAAAAGAAAAATCCAAGTTACAAAAGACGACCGCAGAGGACACTGATAGGAGAGATAGGCTGAACCCCGGTGGACTGAGGGTCGTCTGTGAGGCCTCCTGGGGGGGGGGGGGGGGGGGGGGGGGGGGTCGAGATTATTGTAATGTTAACACTAACCTCCCCCCTTTCCCACACACAAAAAAAAGAAGCATGACTTACCTTGTGCATAATAAGACCTTGTTTGGATTGTACACAGCCTGCAGCCCCCTGACCCACTTCCCTCAGTTCAGCTTCCACATCTGCTGCAGCACCAGTCTCGGCTGTGACAGTGGCCGAGGGCACCCGGCAGCACCCATGGGCCCCACTGTCAGATCCCCGGTGCTGAGACTGTAAAGAGAGGCCTGCCGGACCTCCAGCTCACAGCCAGCGCTCTTAAAAAAATCACCCAAATCAGCCAAGACGTGCTAAATTGAACCACTAATCCAGCACGGGGGTTTGTTTTCTGCACTAATTATACACTTTTATTTTAGAGCATAGATGCGAGTAGACACACACACGTACAGTGCAGACGTCATGACACAAGCTGCACACCACCCCTGGGTGCTGCAGCTCATGTTTCTCTTCAATTATTCCACCCTCTGCCCTCTCTCCTCCTCATAATCTGAATAAAGCCAGATCCGTGTCCTCTAGATATTTAGAAGCCGGGCCTCGGTGCCAAAACATGTAACCTTCCTCCTCTTTCAAGTGTGGTGGGAGTTGGGTTCAGGGGGGGGGAGGGGGGGGGGGAGTTGGCTTCACTGGGTTGACCTCGCAATTCCCTCTGGGGGTTAAACAAAGTTGTGAAATTCAGTTTGGGAGTACGATGGGGAAGAGAATTATGCTTGAATTAGCCAACAACTTGCAGAGACGTTATTAAATTCTCATTAGAGTTGATTTCTTGACCCGGCAAACAGACCCGTAGGATTCAGAATCAAGTCTTTATCTCGGTTAATTGCGTTGTAATGGCTCAAAAATAATGACAGAGGAAGCTCCACAGTGAGAATCTATCACGTTATTCGCTTTGCCCGAAGCCTCTTGGCTCTTCAAATCTCACAGAAATCCAGAGAGTCTTAGATAAACAGACAAAACTGAGGCTTTGACAAAGGTAGAAATGTAATCGCTGCTTTAACAACACCAGGATTAAGCTGGACGGCCTGCAGGTACGGCAGCTCGCTATGGGAGGGGCCCACCATGGGGTTCATTCCAGACCCTCCTGGCGTTGGCCCCTAATGATGTGTAATGGGGCCTCCTGCGCCCGCTCCTAACCCCGGGACCTTCTCCTAATCACCGTGGCTACTAATGAGATGGAGAGACATGAAAGAGCTCGTTAGAAAGAAGACCCTAGCCTTTAATGCCGGCCTATTATTAGCCACTTAGCAAATCATTAGTCTCTAAACTGCGATTACGCTTTAAAGCTCGAAGAAAAAGTGAAATGAAAGGAGTTTTGAAGATGTACAGCGAAGGACAGGAGAAGTGGAACTCTCAATGCTCTCCAAAAAACAACCAGGAAGTAAAGCTGGTTGTACTTTATGTTATGATCTCCATTTGTCTTTTGTATTGCTTTCCTTTGGTGTGCAGTCCTCCTGAGAGTATTGTAAAAGATACTCGTCTCATCTTAAGTCAAGTGGTGACCTTAAGTGAGAGCAGGGAATGAAGGGACACCCTCTTGTCTGAGGCCTGATCTATAGTGTTAGAGGTATGGTTGTGTTGAAGAGCGGAATGGGAAACAGATTCTACTTTGAAATGCGAAATCTGCAAAAAGGCACAGAGAGGTAACACTGATGGAAAAGGTCTCACTTGGGTTATTAAATGATCCTTGCTTTACTAATTTCCTAGACAAATAGATTGGATTTTTACTGAAAAGTACCAATAGTCAAATAAAAAGCAAATGAAGTGGCGCAAAACAGTAGTCAGTAAAACTGTTACGTTCCCTCCAAAATCTAGGGGTACGAAGGGGAGTAACAAAACACAGAACGACCAGCACGAGAAAAAAGAGAGGAAACTGATCTCTTTGTTCACACATGAGATTTAATTCAACAATAATGGACAACCAGGCCCCACACAGAGACCCAAGACGACGTGCTGCACCCATGCAGCCAGAGGAGAAAAGGAGACCCACTGCAGACTTCCTCAGGTCCTTTAAGGAAGACCCTGATTGGGGATTGGGAGCACCTGGGAGAGAGGCTGCACCTGGAGACAATCAGGCTGCACCTGGAGAATCAGAGGGAGAGAGAGAGAAAGACACACACACCCACACACACACACACTACGGCACGTAACAAAAACATTTGACGTCAATACAGGAGAGAATGAACACAAGACTAGGCCTTGCCTTAATAGTATGTTTCAATACCCAAACTACTCAAAATATTTAGTACGTGCCAATACATACATGAATGTAAGTAATACCAGGATGTCCTGCTGCATATGGTCACATGTTGCAGGATACAAGCCAGGGTAAAAGCTTTAAAGCACAATAATGAGGATGTACAGTATGTCCCAACTGCAGTTCTACTGAATGCATCAGTGTGTACTTTGTATGGGCAGCTACAGAGAAAACTGAGCCTCCAAGACACTGTTAGTCTACAGCCATGCTTAGTGGCTCTGTGAAGCAGTATGGAGCACAGTGTCAAGATGAATGCTAAAAGATCTTTTAGCAAGGTAGCTCATTTGGATTAGCTCATTTGCTAATACGTGCTTCACAGTATTGGAGCATTGGATACATTTGTTTTTACATGACTATGGAGCTAGATGATCACCAGTGTTATGACAATTCTTCCTGAGGGGGACATGAATCTGTTTAACAGGTAGCCCATCCAACAGCTATAGATATCTCACTCAAACCCACAAATGATGTGATCGACCTCATGATGGCGAAAGAGGAAAAGTCAGATTCATCAAATTGGTACCTTGAGTATTATCTTCCGATTTGTAGATCAGAAATGTGTCCATCTGTTGGTGGCACACACACACACACACACACACACACACCTGAGCACCTGCAGAAGCTCTGATAGCTTGCATCTGTTCTAAGAGACAAAGGACAATAAGGCAATATCTTAAAATACAATTTTATTTACAATGTAAAACAAATACATTTAAACCATCATACAAAAGCTCGCTAAAAAAACAAATCAATCCTATTTACATGATAAATCAATTCAAATCGGACCTCCATCAGAAAGTCCAAGTCAAGAAAGGTGTGACCGATGCACGCTTCTGATAATGGATTTAAAATTCACACACACGAACCGGACAGCAAGTGTGTGTGTGTGTGTGTGTGTGTAAGAAGTACAACATCAAGAGATGCCTCAGTGGTGTGCTTTAGTTTGCCGTTTTAAAGCAATGTAAACATGTGAAACACAATCCTCTGTCTTTGTGTTTCATTAAGAGGATGTCCACCAGCTTTGCACGCAACCACCATTTAACCATTGTTCATTTTTGAAATCTTAATGGCTTGTGAAATACTGGATGTGGCTGGTCAGTTCTGGTCTTTATCCGACGGCTCTCAGTTAGTGTCGCTCCCTCAGTGGTCCAGGAAGCTGAAGATGCTCCTCTGGGGGGCTTTGGTCTGTGCTGCAGGTCTGTTCTCTCTGCAGGGCCTCTTGGCTGTGGGGGTCACCGCTTCCACCGGCCTCCGCTTCTTCGTCACCTGATGATCAAACACAATAAATATAAACATTGACTAAGAATACATAAAGCAATGTGTTTGTGGTGATATAACTAATCAACGGCTGCCAATAAACACACATGCAATGGTGAATCTTGTGCTAAGACATGCTTGGTAAATAAAGACATTCATTCTGAGAAGTGGGCTCTGGCTCCCCCTAGTGTCATAAATATAGAATACATCAGAGTGAGTAGACATGATAATCACACTCGAGCTTTGCGGAGTGATCTGTTTTGGTGCTTCTTTTAAAAACAGTGAGTTCTTGTCAAAAGCACACAGACAAACATGATTGAGAAATGTAACCGGGTGAAGGCCAGAGCAGAGATTAAACCCTGTGTTTTTCAAAAGGGCTGGACGAACATGACAGACCATTTTTTAGGTCAAGGATTAGGCACCAATATGGCTACTCTAGTATCATGCAGTATTTTTTAAAGCATACAGTAAAGAAAGAAGCATCATGAGCCTATTTATTTTAAGATCAGAGGTGACTTTTTCTACATCTATGCAGCCTCTTGGCCACTTGTTGCAAAATGTCCTCTTAGATTTTGAACCCGCAAGCTGTGATGAACATTTATGTAATCAAAACAAACACTCATCATTATCAATGCACGGGCACGCCAGATCCACAGGACTAACAAATGATTTTGGTACTTTTGACCCTTCCACCTTGTGCAATCTGTGTGTAGGCAGTGCTTTCTACTAGCTTTGTGAAACCGGGCACTGGGATAAAAGTGTGAAGGGTCACGGTAGATGCTGGTTACCATTTAACTTTAACTACATGGTTTCATAACGAATGAATGAGCCATTAGAGGCTTTTTTGCAATGTGTGCACCCGGAATTACATAATTCCATTTTTTGAAGTAAGGTAGCAGAATGAATAATCAATAGTGCAGAGGAGGTCAGATCTCTGAATGACTCAAATGCTCCTCTGTGTAATGCATTCACATTCTTAAAGGCTACCACTTATTGAATATTATCTAATAAGCACAACTTATTACCATCAGTTTCTTACAGATGTGTAAACTAAATGCAATTACTACCTTTTTGTCACCTATGTAATGAGGTTTATTTTATTTTTTTTTAATGCGGTTTGTTGATTGTGAGCAGGACTACAAAAACACTTTTTAAACAATATATATTTTTTTTTAATGACACTTGGTGAAAGGTCATAGCAGGGGTGAATGAAGAATGCATAACATTTCGGAGCAGATACATTATTTTTCAGTCATTGGATTGGGCTTGATTTCTAAACTGTTGCCATTATAGGTTTATTTTTTTATCCTGGAGTTAAGTATATAAAGATAATAACAATCATTCAATTTTTATCTTCTGATGGAATGGTAAAAAAAATCCTCCCAATCAAGCCCCTGAGCATATCAAAGAGTTTTTAAATTAAGAAATCTTTTATGAGTTTTAGAGGAATGAATAGTTTACTTGTTTGAGCAAAGGGACACCATCGTGCACAGCTCACCTTTTTGTTGGCAGCGTTGGAGGTGGACTTGTCCTTCTCGGGAGACAGAGTTTGGAACAGGAATCCTCGGCTGTTTCTGGGAGCCAGAGGATTCCCGTCTGAGATGCATGCCAGCTTCTGGAGGACGGACTGGGGCTGACTCAGCAGGGACCCTCTCTTTACCTGGAAGAAATGTAAAGAACATTTTAGATTGAACTTGTAAAAGCTAAATATAACAAACCTTGTTGGCAATATGTTCAATGCTAATCTCTGAGATCACAATGGTTGGGCAATATTTTTGATATAAAATCGAAATCGTGTAACAAAATTATAATGACGAATTGAAAAGTCAGAAAATCTAAATCTACATTTCTTTACTTGACGGTGAGGTACCTGTGAGGGCTGCGAGAGTCTCTGGAAGGGGTTCAGAGCTGATGTCGTCTTCTTCGTTGGTTGTGATGCCTCAGTGGGCTCTGGTTTGAAAGTTTAAAAGTTAGAAAGTGAAATACTAAAGATTACACTTTATCTGGAGACCTATAAGCTTATCAAAATGTATTTAGAGAGCATCTATCAGGGTAATTGTTACAGAACAGAAGCATGCCTGGGTGTTTTTAAATCCAAGGATTCTGTTTGCGAGGCCTCGTCTCAAACTGACCTTTCCTCTGCAGAGTCTTGGCAGTCACTTTCTTGGCCAGCTTCATAAACTGACTGTCTTCTTGTTCTCCAATCTTCTCATCGTCTGCATCCAAATCCTCCCCTTTCTTGGCTTTCTGCTCAGACTGTGAGAAGAGATAGAGAAAGGAATGAAGACAAAATAACAACAGCCCCATGCAGAAGAGAGGGAAGAATCAACCAAATGTGTCTTTGAAGACTGTAGTATTATTATTACCGTAAATACTGCACATTTATTTTTAATGATGTCTCTTCAATATTATCTAGGTATAACTCTTATTACTTGCAAAAACAGCAACGTACCTGTTCTCTGAGCCACTGCTCTTTCTCCAGCCTGTCCTTCCTCCTCTGGATCTCAGCTGGGTCCACCTCATCCTCATCATCCTCCCCTCCCTCCCCCTCTGCTCCCGTCCTGTCAATGTTGAAACCATCGTCTGGAAAGAGAATTCAAAAGGTTGGGTTTAACAACTCATTTCTAAAATCCCTTCTAAATACCAGTGTACATAGTATACACTATATGGTATGGATTCCCTCAATCTATAAACTCACCCATGTTTTTCCAGCGGAACTGGCGAGCTCGTCCGGGGCCGTCGGAGTGAAGGTCGCCGTCAGCGAGGTAGCGCTCCTGGTAGATCCTCAGCTGGCGCTTGTCATCATCCATGATCTGCTTCCTGTAGGAACAATCCCAGACGGGTGAGATTTTACATTTCAACTCTCAGTTTAAACGCCTAAACGTAAGAACACGTCCTCATTGCATTGTTTATAGGGGTGAAAGTGACATGTATATCTCACAAGTTGTTTGGTTTAGAATCATCGGTTCGTTATGCAACTCCCTTAGCTTGATATTCCCTGTGACCAAATCAATAACTAAATAATGAAGAGTGTTATAAACTTTTGTTAAATGTTAAGAATTTTCTAAATAAATGATAAAAAATGTTTTATGGAACCGTGACCTAAATACGTAAGATTTATCAAAACAGTAAGGTTTGAGCACAGTTACACCCCTAAACACTTCTAAGAGTTAATCCTAAAGAGTGGTGCAGTAATAAGGCTTCCAACCCAAATATAAGTCAGCATTTTAGCCGTTCCAGGTTCCTTCCTTTCAAAAGTCTGAGGTTTTGTGAATATGTTTTCAGTGAGATGCTTTAAATAATGTCTGTGGTTAACACAAGCTCACTGCTTACTCTGCAGTTAATACCAACAGTGAACGTCTGAAGTGGTTGCTAACAATTGACTAAACATTAGCAGCCTTTAGCTTAGCGGTGGTAATGCGCTGCCATGTGTCGGTGAACTAGTGTCGTTCCTTTATATCCTAACGTTAGCTATGTACGTCTGGTGATTGCATTTACACATCAAAAGTCATTAAAGTTGTGTTTAATATATTGAGATTATACTGCTGAACAAAACATGCATCATAAGCATGTGTTTGATTCAGAGCTTATTTCTGCTATACTCCAAAATCCAATGGACAAATCCCATTCAATTTGGTCAAGGGAGCCCTTGTGATGCCAACTCCCTTATCCCAGCACCACTCTATTATGAGCGGAGCAGCAATTGGGAGGAAACTCTGGCAGCCTTATCTTGGGACATTACTCACATGTGGATCTTGTTGACCTGGTCCTGCAGCTCTTCATCAGAGGGAAGATCCTCGAGAAGCTCCTCTTCCTCGTATTCGCTTCCTCCGTCGCCGTCCTCATCTTCACTGTCCATGTCGCTGCCGGACAGCTCGGCCTCTGCCTCCAGGTAGTCGGCCATATGCCTGAGAACAGCATGTGAGAGACTATCAACACGAGGGCTACAGCGTGGATTATGTGATCATAGTATACCACGCGTGTATGTACATGGTGCTAGCTAAACAGTTCCATTTGATTCTTCACTTACATTTTCTTCTTCTTCTTCTTGACTCTGAGTGGTGCGAAGACAGCTTGCATCTCCTCCTCTTCTACATCATCATCATCATCATCCGCTCCACCATCATCCTCCTATGAACGCACAATTCACTTGTCATTTGCATCCAATAGACGTAAATCCAGTATGTTGAATTTGACTAAATCAAAATGGAGGCACGTGTTCTCACCTGTTCGCTGTGACTTTCCACATCCGACAGAAGCCGGAACTCGCAGTCCTCATCCTCTTCCTCCTCCTCTCCTTCATCTGGATTCTTTTTACTTCAGATTAAGAAATGAGCATGAGAATCTTACATTGAATATAGATATTCCAATTAATGTGACCTTCGATGTACGCTGTTAAAGGGTTTAAAATAATGAGTAGTAGAAAAAGAGGGAATAGATAATATGTATGATGATTTGGATTATTCCAGGTCTTTCTTTTGGTACTGTACCTGTCTTGTGCTGGCGAAGCCGTGCGAGCAGAACCTAAAATTGGCAGCAAAGGGAGACAAATGTAAATATTGCGTGGCTGAAATAAAAATTATTCAAAACATTTCTTAAACATTGAAATTAAAAATGTTAAAGACCCAGGGCAACAGGAAATGTACATAAAGGAAAGTACATACATTTGTTCTAATGTCTGATGTGATTTACGTTCAGTCGTCTGGTAAAATATTGCTTTGGGTATCTTTGTATACATGTGAAAAAGCGTACATTAGAAAAGACAGAATATCATAGTTTTAGAAAATATGTTGATGATAAAGTTTAATCATAACAAGAGAAATTCTATCCAAAAACATAAAAAAGTATGAATTTGAACAGGACGGTCATCTCAATGACAGTTTATCTGCCTCAAGCTAACCATTTATTTTCCCTTCACAATAAATACATTTGAATATGAGTTAAATTATGAAGACCTGAACGCCTTGTCAGTGAGTCTATAGTGTGAGCCTGTCTGTCAAACCTTTTTTGCACACTGTAGGTGATTGAACATAAAATACACCATATTTAAAAAAATTCAGCAAACCTTTACCTTGACTGGGGAATTTCCCTGAGCAGAGCCCCAGCAGCTGATCCATGGTGTTGTCAGACTCTTCATCGTGGTCACGTCCCCTTCTGTGCTCTCCTGCCTGCGTTGGTGGGAACGCTCCGGAGCACATCCCGAGCAGCTCTCCCTCCTGCGTGGCTCCGAGGCCCTCAGCCCTGCTGGAGCCGCAGTCTGCCGTTGCGAAAACTCCCGAGCACATGCTCATCAGCTCCCCCATGTTAGCGTCCATGGCGTTTTCATCCAGGCTGCCCAGGATCAACTGTCTCTTGTGGGAGCGGGGGGGCACCGGGCCGCGGCCCCACGTTCAGGAAGCCGTCTGCATCCAGTAATTGCTCCTGGGTGTCCTCCTCCAGGGAGAAGCGACCCCGGGAGTCTCCTCCGGGGCCCGAAGCCGCTCTGCCGTGGGGCTCCGAGTCGGCTCCTGGGGACGGAGGGGCATACGAGTCCTGGGAGTCCTCAACAGTGAGGGAGAGGGAGGGCTCAGAGAGTTTGCCTGAACTCTGGTGGAGGGGAAAAAAAAGGTGGACATATGTTTGGGAGAATTCAAACCACTGATGATGTTATTTAGATTTTTTTGGTGTCTTAAACATAATGAAAAATATGATATCTTACCCTAGAGGCAGAGCCGAGGAAGCTGGGCCTGAAGGAGCATCGAGTGGGGGAGCGGAAAATGGAGGAGTTGGAGATGCTTTTCCCTGCAGAGCGCTGATAGCTGATCGGCTGGTACGAGGTGATCATGGAGCCAGCCAGCTCAAAGCTGCTGTTGTTGCTGTTGTCCTTCACCAGGGACAGAGAGTCTTCGTCCTCTGAAGACAAGAAGGATCAGAGAGTGAGAAGATAATACACACATTTTGCACAAAAGGATCCACCACATAAAAGCTCTTAAAGTGAAATGTGAAGTAATGTAAAATAAAACAAAGGTCTTTCTTTTTACTCACCCATCTTATTGCTGCAGCTGTTCTGCCCAAAAGGACCAGACCTTCTTACACCATCGCTAAAAAGTAAGGCAGAGCATATGTCAATATACTGTGCAAACAAATTTAAAATGAACAACAATGATAAGAAAAAAAAATGTTTGTGCGAATGCATAGCTATTTTACGTGCTTGACAAGTTTTGTTTTCATTAATAGGACAACCAGGTTATGGTTAAGTAAGAGAAACTTGCTTACAATTCACAGATTAATTTAAGTTACAATGGTAAAAACATACCAAGACACACAACTAGACACTCCCCCCACACACACACACACACACTCACCCTGTGCGAGAGCAGGAGTTCCCGGGGAACAGCAGGAGTGTGCAGTCCCTGTTCATCATGTCAGGAACCGGCGATGGTCCATTCAGAGCCACAGGAGACAGACTTCTAATACTCCGGGTCACACTGCCTTCCTCGTCTTCATGTTCCTTCTCTTCTTCCTCACCATCATCCCCTCCCAGTAAATCATCTACATTCTGTTAAAGGAGAACATCAGGTTTTCCGTGAGTACACAAATATATAAAGCATGTTGGTCATTTCAAAAGCAACAACAAACACACTTTCTCTTACCTCTTCTGCCTCAGACTCATCCGTCATCTCTTCTTCCTCCTCTTCTTCTTCATCCTCTCCACAGTCCTCATTGTCGAGGCGATTCAGCTCAGCCTTGCGTTCCCTGTCCTCCTGTCTCCTCTGGGCCATGGCGAGCTGCAGGCGCTGCTTCAGAGTCAGCAGCTTCTCCCCTAAAGAAAAGGAACAGAGGACATTGGAATATTGTTACACCTCCAAGTTTTATTTCTCCGTTCTTTGGTATTGATGCTGAAGCGTACAGAAACGATCTGGTCCACGGCCTCTAAATGGACTTCACATGTAGATACCTGGTTTGGTGGTCGGAGGCTCCTCTGCTCCCTCCTTAACGGTGACAGTGAGCGACTCGGTGTGCAGCTCCTCCTGTCCAGAGGGGGCGCTGTCTTTGCGGACGATGGTGAGCTGCATCGTTCGTTCTCCTTGAGGCCGTACGTGCTTTTGGGAGTGACGAAAGTAACGCTCCTTCAGTGCCTCAACCCCTAGTTGAAGAAGAGAGGGGAAAACAAGATCAATTGTCAACAAGTTTCTCTCCCCTTAAATACAATACATAGATCAAATTCACTCATTCTCGCTCTTTATCTTTTCTTACTTTATGTCAATCCTAAAAAAAAAATCATCACTCACCAGAGTTGAGCTGTGGAGGCTCGAGCTGAACAAAGGCTCCTTCATCTGCACACAGCTTAGCGACGGGTGGAGGGTTCAGTCCGAACTTCTTCAATAAGGCAAATTTGTCCTTCTTGGGTTTGGTGGGTTGCTGCACTGAAGGCCCTTTAACAGCAGAATCAGCACACTGAGCGTTTGAAGGCTCCACCACAGCCCCAGACTCTCTCTGAGGGGCGTCGGACATCACCGCATTCTGGCTTTGCTCTGCAGGACAAGCTTCCCCAGAATCAGAGGCGCGTCTCTGTGCATCTGTTCCCTCCGACTCCTGCAGACTCTCAGAGAGGTACAGCATGGGTCCAGAGTCCTGGTCGGGGTCGAGGCTCGCTGCTGCCTCTCTGGCTGGGCTGAGGCTCTCCTGCTGCGGGGACGAGGTGGCGGCAGGATGAGGGATGGACTGGATCTGAGTGGACGACATATCGAGAGACGGAGGAGAGTCCTGCTCTGTGGGTGGCTGCTCACTGGGTGCGATGATGGGGGGAGGAGGAGGAGCTGATGGCGTCTCCAACATCCTGGCTGAAAATTTGGTAGATCTGATGAGGAAAAAAATGTAAAAATGAGTGTGAGTGTGAGTAAATGTTCAATGTGTGTGTATGAAGGAAATGCACTTGAGATTAACTTCCTATTATAAAATCAGATATGTCTTAGAAATCGTTACGACGGACAGTAATTGTGTTCCCGTATGGCCAGCTGTTGCCCTACATGCGTGTTATCCGTTACATGAATCCTTACTTTAACAGTCTCATGGCGGGACCCTCTGGCCTGGCCCTCTTCTTGAAGAACTGGTCGATGGTCTTGGGCTCAGGGATGTGATAGGGGAGGCCAAGCGTAGACTCTACAGAGACAGAACAACATGTCAAAGATGCAAACACACATCATGAAAACTGAATTGCCACAATAGATACAAGTGAATAGAAGTGTTTCCTGTGCACTGACCTCGGACCAGCCTCTGGGACTCGCTGTGGAGCTGCTTCATCGCATCTCTGCTGGCACGTGCGGCTTTCCTCTCCTGAAAGCATCACACATGTTGAGAATGAAGCCGCTTTTTAACAGGATTAAGAATAAAAGTCAAGAATTTTGCCTATGCATACCACACGCTGAGGTTTCTCCGTTTCATCTTCATCTTCCTCCTCTTCATCACCCAGGAGAGGATCCTGCAGAAATATCAAACACTGATTACACAAAGGCCTGTGTAGACAACCTCTGCAAAATGTCATGCAAACCATTGTAATTCATAAATAAATAGCTCCCACACGTAGGGCTGTGCAATTAATCGTATTTTAATCTCGATTACGATTTTGGCTTGCAACGATTACGAAAACAACGTTATAGAAATAAAACTATTATTTTTGCTGCATTCCCTTTCGGAATGATGCTCTTTATTTGTATTGCGTTATACATCCTGCGTGCGCGTGCGCTTTCGCCCCTCCCTAAAAGCCCTCTCGGCCAGGTTGTGTTGTGACTTGCAGTCTGTTTAATAAATCCATATAAACACGTTACATGGAAGCTTTAGTTGCCGTGTCTGTATTCTCCGGTCAGCTCTAGCGTACAGTATACTTTTACTAACCTCGTCAAGCCGGAACCTCTTAGCTCGCTACTTCCGGGGATAAGGGGTTACCAAAATAAGAGTACTGCGTGTAGCAGTATAATTAAACATTACAGGTTGTGAGTGACATTAGTTATCATATTTATATATGTTTAGTAGGTTGTGGAAGTGCGCTCCAAAATATTTGTTGATCTTCTTTAATCTGTATTTATTTAAATGTATTATTTATTTTTGTATTGGTTTTTCAGTTGAATTATACTTAAAGTTTAGGGTAATCAACTGTTAAAAACATACTGTTCAAATTATTATAATTTCTTTTTCAAAAGTTCAATAAATGGATGTTTTCAAAGTCAATGAATAATCATTTTTAATAATCGTGATATCAATATTGACCAAAGATAATCGTGATTATGATTTTTGCTATAATCGAGCAGCCCTACCCACACGGCAGCTTTACAATTGAATGCACCTGTGACGTTTAATCACAACTGCTCTGCGTCAGACTAAATTGACACGGCCAACTAATGTAACGCTTTAACAACATTTAACTCAAATTCATTAACTTTTAACAAAATATGTTACCTTTATTATGCGTACCAATAAGCTGAACAAAAAAGCAAGTGCTTACAATCCTGCCAACACCTTTTGAAATATACAACCAGTGATGAACAATTTTAATTGCGGATAGTCATATTTGTACCTTTTGTTTTTTCATTTTTTGCTTGACAGCAGCTCTGATGGCCTCCAGAGACTCTTCCTCCTCATCATCGTCCAGCCCCGTGTCAAACAGATCCGTGTCGCCCAGCAGACAGCCACTATCGTTCAGAACCCGAGGGAGAGGTGCGTTCTGGGAAATGAGTGCAAGTTGTCTTTAAATTACACAAAATAATTCATCATGTAACTTACTGGTACTTTGTGTAGAGGTTTATGCTTTTAATGGAGACAAATGCACACTGTGCTATAGCTCATTTTATGTCAGTAAAGAATCTGAATACTAGAGTCTCTGCATAAGAAATTAAAAACACCACTGAGAGAAAAAAGCTTCACAAACCTCATTTATTTCAGAGAACCGCTCCTTCTTCTTCAGTTTTTCCACCGCCTTGCTGCCCTTTTCCTTTTTCTCCCTGTGCCTCTGACTCTTCTTATGTTCCTTCATCGATTTTGCTTCCTTCCTCACCTCCTTCTTTTGTTCCTCCTCCATTTCTCCACCTTTCTCTTGCTCGGGCTCACTGTCTTCACTGTCAATGGGAGCACGGATAATTCTCTTGCTCTTCTGGGCCCCTTTCTCTTTCCTATCACCCTTCTTTTCTGCCTTTTCAGTCTCCATCTCCTCTCCGCTGGAAGCAGATAAGACTAAGGCTTCGGCCATGTTTACACCGTTGTCCCCAGCAGCCTCCTCTTCCTCACTCTCACTGTCTCTTATGGCATTACGATGAGGCTTTCTGTGAACAATGATGTCTTCATCGTCTTCGGAATCTGAAAACAAAATACCAATTTAGAACCAATCAAATATATGGCACAAAATACAGATTAATTGTAATTTTTCTGATATTGGTTCCGTTTGTCCGGTGTGTTGTGCTTTTATTTGTATATGTTCTAGTATATCTCAATAATGCATATGCTTATTTGTTTTTAAATTGCATATCAAGGAATTGTCATTCTTCAAAATAAGACAAATTAATACCATTTTTATTCTGCATGTGCAGTCAATGCAGAATAAAAACATATTTAATTATTCAAATCTTTAGACATTTTGTACAGATAGATTTGACTTTGCGTGAGTTAAGTGGATCCTTGTCCAAATAGTCATTTGAGTACTGCACTTATTGTAAGCTTTGTGTCTATGTAGATGTACAAGTGTTTGTTATTGTATGGAAATGAACATGAATGCCCTCATTTACACAGCCAAAGTGGCTCCTGCCCCATCTCTCTCAGGCTGAATTGTCATCTTTTGTTGTGTTCCTTTACCTGGAAGCTCCACTCTTTTGTTGGCTGCCTCCAACACCATCTCCTCCTCTGGAGAGCCCATCCCGCTGTCTGAATCACTCTCTGGGGCCGTTGGGACCACACCCGGGAGACCCTCAGTCTGGGAACAAAAACACAAAATAAAGATAAAGTGCACTTTCTGTATTATTGCTCTGTATACTGTTAGAATAGTTAAAATAACTCAAAAAGTTGCTATGTATAACTTGCATGATTAAAGTGGAGCTTGCAGCTGTTGATATATTCCAAAACTCAATATGTCACTTTTTGGTCCGTTTCTGAATTAACAGATATAATAATATTGGCACTAAATCAAACAGCACTCTCTAAGAAGCTTACACAGTTGCTCCTTTTAAATCCCTTGCAACATAGGTCAGTATACATTATTATATTATCTGCTTGAGTAACCTATAACCTAGAAACGGGGGCACTAGGTCAATATCCAGTTTCAAATACAATATGTGTTGTCTTTGCAAATGTATGTATGTATTGTTTTCGATTGTGTGAGTTAAAGCAGCCGGATTGGTGTTATAATACCTTAGTGGCGCCTTGAAATACACCAAACAATGAGCAGTGCGTTAGCTGGCGACATTGATTCGTTTCAGCATTTGGAGTTACCTTAGCTAATGTAACATGTACCATACATTATAAGTGTTTCAGGGACAAATCACAATTGTATTTCACTGCAGATAATATAATCTTCCTGGATTTGAACAGTGGTGAACAATATAAAACGCCTAACTAGCATGCATTTGATCGTTGTGACCAGGCCAAGAGGACAACCACCATTCCAACTGGCTAAACCTAACCTAGCCAGCCAACGTTAGCTATGTGGCTAAAGCTAACTACAGCTGCTATTAGCACATGTCTGTCTTTCTTGAATGCGTGTGATCTTGCCTGTCTTTTAACTTAACTCATAGCTAGGATGGCATATATGTCAGTCTGATACTTTAACGGTAAATCGATGTTGAAAGTTACATTTCCTCACCTGTTGTTGAGAGACGACCAGGCTCATCTTTGTCCGCCGTCTAGTTTTCGCTCTTTTGTGAAATAAACCAGCGGAAACAGACGCTTCGTCGATTCCCGGCAGCCACAACTGACTCGGAGAAGCAAATGTCTGCGTGACAAAGGCTATTTTAGACTTGTAAAGCACATTTATAAAGACTTTAACCGGACTGCTTCTCTTCCTCCCGCCTGTTCCCTAACGTCACACACCGATTAGACAATTTGATATTTCGCGCGCCGTGACAGCTGGCCCGCAGTTTTTCGTCATCGAGTGTCAATCGTCTCGTTCTCGCTTTCCTATTGGTCCGTCCGGGACGTTTGTTACCGCCCAGTGTGACGACACGGCTTGCTGAGAGCTGACTTTTAATGCCGGGAGTCCTCGGGCGGGCGAGGTTGAGGGGGGTTAACAAAAGGGAAGGTCGTAAAATATTAAACTTTATTAACCCATGACGAGTGAAATTGTTGTGCAGTAGTATTATTAGGCCTACAATATTTGAATATAGGAACACATTTGAGTTGTAATAATTAGGTAGGTGCAAAACCCAGATTGACACAATGGCTGAAAAGTTAATTACTTAAGGGTTTTTGACATATATTACTGGGGAAACAAAGAACAAACTGAGAAACTTGTGATAACTTGGTATTCGTTGCAATCACTGATATCTTTGACTTCAATGTATTGAGTGAGTTTCTTCAGATACCAATTTAGCGAATATATAGGCCTACTTTCAAAATGTAAATAAAATCTGTAACACAGGTTCTCTATTTTAACTCAATATATTAGAACATTGTTCTTAGTCAGAGTGTTATCTTCAAAGTAAATAATGACAGGACCAAGGGCTGGAGGAAAATTATTATTTCTGTTTACTGAATTTATGCAAAATACTTATTAGTTATTTTTTGGGATAAACATTTTACATACAAAATATTTATTGTATTTCCCACATGTTTTGTTATATTTTACACCAAGAGTACACAGTTGCTAAGATAACTCAATTTCGACCATCATAACAGTAACATATTTTTAACCGATTAATGCAATATTCCTGAATTAGAAAATAGATATAAGCAAATAAGAACTGTATATATCATAAACTGTATCACAAAGGCTACTTAAGACAACGGAATCATTATGCAAACAGCACAATTAAGAATCGTATTTAGCCTATAGGCGATAATTGGATAATATGAATCAATTCATCAATCCGTAAGCATTACTTTAAAGTTGCAGCCAGTTGAGTCGAGGTATCTATATATATTTATCTAATATATCATTCCAATCACTTGCACTATTCCACTATTTCACTTTTTTACTATTTTTCCTTTTGTATTTACTATTTACTTGCACTATTTTTTTCTGTTTATCTGTTTTATTGTGTTGCAATGTTGGAGGAGCCTGTGACCTAAGATTTTCATCGTCGTAACTACACGTACGACTAATAAAAGCCTTGAACCTTGAACCTTGAAGTAGGGCTTATTCCAATATCCTTTACAAAAAAAATACTCAAGTAAAGCCCTGCTCAATTAAGTAGTTACTCTTAAACAAGAAATTCAGTATTCCCTTAATTTAGTAACAAATTGAGAGCCAATTAACTTGACTTTTTAACCCTAATTTGATAACTTTTCCCTACTTTCTGTCTAATGTTGTGTGACTGTATTCTAGTCAATGGTGTGAAGTTACTAACAACATTTAACCAATGACTTTTCTTAATTACAATGTTGACATAAGAGAAACACAAAAATGCATTACTGATTTTAATCCATGAATATAATTTATACAAGTAAACATTTAAATACATGCACCCCCACCCCTAGTGCGGTACAGCAAATTACGCATGCGCACAGCGTACTCCAAGGCTTCTAACTGGCGCATGCGCACGTACAAATCCCCAGAAGCAGCAGCAGCGGCGGTGGCTTGGGTCGGTTAGTTCACTCAGCAGTCATCCACGCATCTATCTATATTCCCTTTTCTTAAATTAGCCACATTAAGCTTCGCGATACCGCCCCCAATTTCAGCCTCGGTACGGAGCCGCCAGGCCGGGACAGAGACGGAAGGAGAGGCCTCCGAAATGGAAGCGCTCGGACCGGGTAAGAAATACGAGAGACACATAGCAGGCAGCGGGGAGAGATGGCCGTGTGTGGGGAGCGTGTTGCGCAAATGCGTCGCATCACTGGGGGCCGCGGTTGCAGCGAGGCCTTGACGCTCTGACGGGAAAACAAACCGAGGCCCAGCCCGTGTGTGTGTGCTGTGTATATGTGTGTCGGGCTTTATTTACACCGAGCGGGAGCCATGTTTTGTGTATGTACGAGGAGGGCTGGTGTTTAAAAACGGTTATTCAGTAATGTCTGCGCGGTTATATTTATCTGAAGCACTCTGCCCGTCGTGTCGGAGCTGGCATTGTGTGAGTGGGGATTTAACCAGGACCTTCCTTCCTTCCCTTCCGCGTCGTAGTGTGTTTACGTTGTTTGTTTTCGACGTGTTTAGTCTTTGCTCACACAATACGACTTAATTCCTACAACAAGACTACACAATAACGTCGAAATATGCTACCTGTATCAAATTATTGCTGCGAAACCATCTACATTTGTACCATCGCCATCAGGAACAGTACGTCTCTTCGGGCTGCCCTCCGTACTAGATGACAGCGATGGGTGGGAAACAAAATAAACGCCAATAAAACGCACGTTACAAGCGTTGAAGGAGCATGTTTTGTGACTCATAATTTACTGGTTTTATGCGAGGCTGTCATTGGTTAAAGTGCCATGCGTATGAGAGCCCAGCAGGGATGGATGGCGCTTTTATCGATCAGATCTGCAGGCGAGCTCCATAATATTCCCCTATATGATAACAAAGGCACTTATTTTGCAGCGATGCAGTAACCAAATGATAAAGCTTGCGGAGATATTACAGCCATACACCTGAACACCCAGTGATACAATGCATTCTTATTGCAAAATGACTTTTTTTTCAACATGGACAAACCGTTTCCTCATTTTGATGGTGAAACTAGCCCTTATCACACAACGAATTAAGTGCAGCTATCAGCTATTGAACCCCTTGCATGTCCACATGCTCTCTAATAAAGGTGGTAGTATAAGCTAGATGCCAACACCACACTGGAATGTAAGGAGACAACAATAGTGTACAACCACCCACAGGTGTAAGTGCCACCATAATCAGTGCAAGCCATCAATTATCATCTATGATAACAGCAGCTGCTCCCTTCAGGATTACCACATGTATCTACCTGTATCACAACATATTTCAGGGCGGACTAGTATTACAGTTTTTAGTAATTCATAATTTCTTATCTTGCAAGGTGGAGTGTGGATTTAGGCTTGCTATAGTACACACAATTTACTCACATTTGTAATGATAACCAGGGATACAGCAGTACTATTCTCAGACCTTTCACAGTCATTGCCTTGACTAGGATGCATTACACTTTGACAAGATCAAAATACGATCACACTTTTAATTGTACGTCTAGCAAAGCATTACAAGAAAGGATGCTGTAGTGCTTTTTAAATGTGCATAGACAAACTGAAGATAATGTCAAACCCTGTTAGAATGACACTTGTGGCTGGAGTTCTTTAGAAAGCTCCCCACCATGTAGTGTGTCACAGTGTGGTGTAGGTCTGGGGTGTCTTCACAGAGCAGCTCATTTAACCTGTTATTTTGTTCTGTATAGTTGAAACTGTTGAAGTGGTGTTAAAATCCGAACTTAATGCAGCTGACACAAATACACAGATTGTCACGGGAAATACGTAAATAGAGGCAACAGTTAACTCAAGGGGGCGTGAACTGATGCGAAGATGAGCCCGCTGATGCTGAATATGTTACACATGACCAAGAAATTCACAATTATTAGGAAAAGTATGACTCCATTGCATGAATACACACGCATCGATTGGTGGGAAAAGGCAAAAGCCCGTAGGTTAATTAATGAAGACTATAACTGCTCAAATGTAGTTATGTTTGACGTTAATCCCAGCATGAGCTATTACACAGACTGGATATGTGTGTTATTTAGCTGATGTACTGCCACTGCCAGTCAAGGAATGCATTCACTTGAAAATTAACTGAAGAGGTGACATTTATTTGATTACAGAATATAGCTTTTCTGGTCTATCAGTTGAAATGAGTTGCACCTGTTGCTACAGCTATACATTAAGCTTCTCTTCACTGAGTGGCAGATATTCCCTTCTTGTGAATGGTCCTTTTTTCTTCCTCTAGCGTAGTATTGTGATCAGGTGGCTGCAGGTGTGGGCGTCCGCACGCTCCCCTGCTGTTAGTCTCTGACTCATCACCACGCCGAGCCATCATCATCATCCTCCTGCTTAGCTTAAGCCCAGCCGACTCTCTGCTTGATCTCACTGTGGTTACCTTGGACACACATAGCATTACAAGCCTCTACAGTGCACGAGTAGTAAAACCTCTCTCCTCTAATGTTAGTACACCACACACAATTTCATCTTTTTATACATTCACTCAGTGGAAAGTAAAAGATAATCTTGAATTTTTTTTGTAATGTTGTGTTGCTTATTGAATCTGTTGGTCTATTTTAGCTAAAAGATGCACTTGGATTACATAAGGAGCAGAAACACTTGCTTGGCTCTAGTGCATCTGTCATCTTCCGCGCCAAGAAAAGCTAATTTCACTTCCTCTTTGGCTCAAAGTAGCTGCAGCTCGGTGTCACTAAGAAGTATCATTTTATGTTGGCAGCTTTCTTTTTCTTCATGAGTTGTTAAAATGTGACTTTTGACAAGTCTGCAGGATTCCAAATTAGATACCTAGATCTTCTTAAAATGTTTATTTATAAAAATGGTTCACATACCTGTTTAAATCAACTCCATATGCTTCACTGCTTAAGTAATGTATAAACACACTTGGTATAAAGATCATACATTTTGATCAAAATATGCTTGTGACAAAGAAAGAAGTGAGTATTCGGTGAATAAATCACTTAGGAGCTGGCGTCTTCTGGACAAAATGTTCTGCATATTTGTAGCTTTAATTACATTTCTGATTAAGTTGCACTCGGTGATATTGCATGGCCTCAATCTTAATGTGATGTTCCTCATGAATTTTGTCATATTAGGGGCTGTTGGTGATTTTTTTATGTCTGCTTGCCTGGGTGCATCTTTCCCCCCCGTGACAGTTTGGTCTGCTGAAATATTCTCTGTTACATGAATGTAGGACAAGTGCTTTTTTCTCTTACAAAATACTGAAGTGACCCAAAGTTTACCCCAAACACTACCTTATTTGGATCTACATACCCACGCTGGTTGGTTTTTGGAATCTTGATCTTTAGTTTTTATGTTTAGTTTGAGCTGAAAAGATTAATTTGTAATTGGTTGGTCAATGGATAGAATAATAATTTAAAGAAAAAAGCCAAATATTTTCTGGTTTCAGCTTCTCAAGTGAGATGATTTGGTACTCTTGTTATATAGGATACAAGAAAGACAGCTGAAGAAGTCTTTTGATATATTTGATTTTTTGTTGTTGATGATATTTTAGGCATTTATTTCATTTGTTATCTTTAAAGCAAACTCGACAAATGTTTTCTCTGGCTGCAGGGTTATGTGAATAGATTGCTTTTCTTCAGTTTAAAGGATAGCAAACTGATTGTGTGTGGGTTTTGGACGGTCTGTCTGACAAACAGTTAGAAGACATTACCTTTGGCTTGAGGACATAAATACATTTCATAAACTGAACAAGTTATTAACTTAAATAATTGGCATTTGAATCATTCCCTCCTCAGTCTGGTGAGGCGGTGTTGGCTGTGGTGAGCAGACAGGAAGTGGAGGAAGGATGAGTTCAGACATTTTATGTTGAGACATGCATATCCAAGTGTAGTAGTGTGGCAGCTGAGGAGGCTATATTTAGGTACAGCTCTGCTTTTGGTGGAAGTGGAAGAGGAAGACCTCCGACTCTCTCTCTGCTGCTCACACACAGCAAAATGTACGCCAGCAGAGATAAAGGGAAACCCCTGTCCACTCGTTCCGCCATACTTTCATACTTTGAATGGTATGATCCAGAGCTGTAACCATTAGAAGATGTATTGATTGTCAATCTTCAGATATTTAGTTAACTGTTTGTTGCTTTGCTAAATGTATACTATTTTCTGCTTGTAAATAGATCCTTGTGTGTGTGTATATAATATATTATTTTGGGTATTTAGCCTCTTGGTCAAGCAAATGTTCAATATTTTCTGACATTTTGTCGAGCATGTCAAATGAAACGATGATACAAATCTCAGAGTACCTCTATTCGTCCCACAGAGGGGAAATGTACATGTGTTACAGCAAGTAAAGACCCAAAGATAGCTTGGTATTAGTTAAGTAGCATGCATACATTTATTTTAAAGATAAAAGAAATTACACAAATTACAAAATAACAGAAAAGGTAATCATTTACGTTTTCTGTCGCATTAAAAAGATAAAAACCCCTCTAGAAACCCTGAGCACAGCGGTTCTGCAATTTGCATTAGCTTTTGAAAGGTCAGACTTGTATAAAGGAGCTTTAGTCTCAACTCTTTGGTCATTTTTGTGTAGCTTGAGGTTGTGGTGTTTTATCAAACTGCACTTATTTCAAGTTTTTTTTTCTCCACTCTACGTACATTTAACCGAAAACAGAATGTTGTGTTAAGCTTGTAAAGCTCCCTGTAGTCACTATGCTATGCACTTGAAATACTATTGGCTTGCAATGCACTTGAAATACTTTAGTGTGGTTGTGATGCATAATGTAGAACTATACAAACGGCGCTCTCTGTGCACCTTTTGTTTCCATCGGTAAGGCCAGTAGGACAAAGTGGAGTGAATCAAAAAATGCCACTAATGTATTCTTATTTGGTATCGTGAGCAAAATAATGATGTAGAAAAGCCGAATGGTAGTATAATACAATCAAGCTGATGGAGATGGAGGAGTGGGTGGTTGAGGGCAAGGGGAGGTGATTTGGGGCCCACACTAGAACAGGGCATGTTAGGAAGCGTGTTCTCAGGAAGCGATGGGGAGGGTCCCGATTGTCCGTGCTCTCGCGCTTCACTTGCTAACTGGAGCGTGTGGGAGCGTAGAGTTCGGGAGGACCCCCGCAGTCCCCTAGCTGTCAGTTAACAAAAGCTGTGAGCGGCCTCCTCCAACCTCCTTCAATACCACCAACACAATGTTGTTTTAATGTTGTCTGTATATATATATATATATATATATTTATATTTATATATATATATTTATATTTATATTTATATATATATTTATATATATTAAGTCCCAAAATTCAAAGCAAAGATGAACTCCGTGCGTTTCCTCTTTGAAGGATGCCAAAAATAAATTAAACAGATCGCATCGCGCTGCCTCCTTTACATCCATGTAATTGCAAAGAAGTAGGGTTTATGTGTAAAAGAGTTTCTTATGTTTACATTTTTTGGTCCTTTTTTTACAATATATTTTCTTTGAGTGTGTTTATGTATGCACCATACAGAATGCAAATTCCTCGTATGCCTACTTGGCAATAGACCTGTTTCTGATTCTAGTCAAAACTGAGATCTTGAGTGAATATATGTCATGATTTAAACTGAAGGCTGCATTCAAGGTGTTTTGTTCCCCATAGCCTGCAGCTCTTTGTGCTACAACACAATCCTCATAAGCCCCACACCTGTCTTAGGTACCTGTGTATTCAGTATGTAATGTGTATGTGAGTGATATGTGCGTGTGCGTGTGTGTGTGTGTGTGTGTGTGTAACGGTAATCCCAGACCCTCTGTGTGTCACCCCTCCATATGTCCCTGCTGCTGTCTGTCTGAGAGGAGCTCCGCCTTTGTCTCGGCGTGAGGGGGTGGGTGCCCTGTGTGTCTGGGGGGGGCGGTGCCCAAATGATAATTGGAGGTCATTGTTTCGCCAGCCCCCTTGTTGACCCATGTAGCTCAGAGGCCAGAGGCCCGGATCAATCAAGACGCGAATCCGCGCCTCCGGGTCAGTGCATTCAAGCAGGTGTCACTGATGAGATGGTTTGCAACGATCTTTGCGTTGCGTCACACACATTATGCTTTCTCTGATGACGTTTTCTTGCGGAGATAAGGTCACACTGTGTCGCCACCTTTGTTCACTTTCAGAATAAATGCCAAACGTGCTTTATGTGAAGCTTTCTTTTGTGGGGAGGAATCCATGCATTTCTAAAGTTTAGTGTTCACTAAGAGGAGGTAATGACTAATGTGGCATTCATTTAACATTTAAGAGTTGTTTCAGGTATTCTTATGCAAAGTAGTAGCATGTCACTTAAAGTCCTTTTTTACCTCTAAGACTGGTGATTCACAATCTTCTTTTCTTTCTCCCTATGCCTCCTCCAGGGCCGCCGGCCCCTCCTCCCTCTCTGTTCCAGCCTCCGCGGCGTCCCGGCCTCGGCACGGTGGGGAAACCCATCCGGCTCCTGGCAAACCACTTCCAGGTGCAGATTCCCAAGATTGATGTCTATCACTATGATATCGACATTAAGCCTGAGAAACGGCCTCGAAGGGTTAACAGGTAAATACCCACCAACAACAGCAAAATGCACATGATGTCTTAAAGTGATGTCTTAAATATATCAAAATGTTTAAATACAAATAGTACCTTAGCTATCATAACAGACTGCACATGATGAAACTTGTCTCGTAAGCGCCAGAAGCTCTATATGCTAAAAATTAAGATAAATAAGCGTCTTGTTTTATTGCATTATAAAACTCGATCATTTCTTATAAATGTTGTCTCCAGAAATGTATTTTTGTTTCTCACCGTCCTGTTGTACCTGTCTTCCAGGGAGGTGGTGGACACCATGGTGCGGCACTTCAAGATGCAGATCTTTGGAGACCGACAGCCGGGCTACGATGGGAAGAGGAACATGTACACGGCACATCCTCTGCCGATCGGGAGAGACAGGGTTGGTATTTCAAACACATGACCCTCGTGTCACAAGCATTTACAAAGATGAACTTGTGTGTGTTTAAAAGACAGACAAGAAAGACGTTTACACGCAATTGTCTCTAAAAGTATGTCAAATGAAAGAAATTCTTTAATTCAACTTAAGCACCGTATATATGTCCATATTTTGAGCACAAGGCGGCAGGCTTCAGTGGATTAGGTTGAGAGTTAACAGGTTGATTTGAAGTTTGCTGCTGCATCAGCTTAGAAAGGCTGGACCAGGAGCTGCAGTACTGATTTATTAGGACTATTACTAGACTGAGCTCTACTCTAAATGGTCTTACGTTTTCGTACTTGTTCCATTTACAGCAGCTTTGTCAGGCTTTTTAATAGTTTGTTTTTATTCAAACACTTGCATTGCAATATAGATAGAAACTGACATTAACCTCTTAATTAACCATAACATCTGAACCTTTTCTTAGTTACAGCAGAGTAAAATGTAAGAAATCTGCCTCCTGTTGTACCACTTTTACATTAGGTCCACTTTCCCCATTTTCTTTCAATTTGTTGAAAGCTGTGGGGCTAAGATAATGTAAGGTTTGAACATCTATTTGAATGTTAAAGGCAAACCTATTTAAGGACTCCTTCTGTGTTGATCTCCTCATCTACTTTGTCTTCAATCTCTCCCTGTCACCTGCTCTCCAATCCATTTCCAAACATTAATTATTTGTCTCTTCCTCTCACTTTGTCCTCTTTCCTCTCCCTCTTCAGGTGGATCTGGAGGTGACTCTGCCGGGTGAGGGGAAAGATCAGACGTTCAAGGTGTCTCTGCAGTGGGTGTCGGTGGTCAGTCTTCAGAATCTGCTGGAAGCTTTGTCGGGTCACAACGAGGTCCCCGAAGATTCGGTCCAGGCTCTGGATGTCATCACGCGGCACCTGCCTTCCATGAGGTACCAACACTCATAACATTTCCCACAACACATCACATTTTCCACATTTGTTGGCAGAGTTATTGCTTTTTATCTCTTATTTGTCTGTATTACTTAATTTCCTGCTGTCTTGCGTCTCCGAGATCTAATTATATTATGAAATTGCATTTTCCAGCGATTGATTCCCTCTCAGCCGCTTTCGTAGCAACTGAACTACAGGGCACTGCTTTCCTGAGATATTTGAGTTTCTGTAGATTGGTTCATTATTCAAACTGCTGTCTTTGTGCGCTCAGGTATACTCCTGTGGGGCGTTCGTTCTTCTCCCCTCCGGAGGGCTACTATCATCCTCTGGGTGGAGGCAGGGAGGTGTGGTTTGGTTTCCATCAGTCTGTCCGTCCTGCCATGTGGAATATGATGCTCAACATCGATGGTAAGTGGAGCGGATGGGCTTCAGATGTGATTTAAATTTAGATTTTATTTAACCTCTTTGAGATAAATTAAATCTTCTTTTTAAAAGTTTCCTAGGCCGAGACAAGCAGCAGCACATTAAACAAAGTTTCAGATATACAAACAAATTACAGTTACAGAGAGAACTTTCAGATCATAGCATGACTAAAATAAAACTAGACATTTTCTTTCAAACACTTGAAGAGACTAGCTCCGATAGACCGGAATCAATCTGTAACTAATTCCAAGTCGCAGCAGCATTACCTTGTCCTTTTCTTTACCACAGGAGTGTTATTGGTCTGAACACTCATTTAAGTGGCCCTATCATGCTTTTTGGTATCTTAAAGGTCCCATGTCATGCTTTTCCGGTTATTACCCGTCCCCTTGTGTGTTATGTAGCTTTTTATGCATTTAAACGGTCTGCAAAGTCACAAACCCTCAAAGTACACCCTGTAGCGAGTAAAACTCTAACACAGAAAAGACCTGTCTATGCTGCCCCAGAACGCCTCGTTGGAGATCTTTCTTTTTCTTGCTGGGTACAGTGACGTGACCATCGATGTCTCGCAGACCCCACGCAGCAACCAGGAAACGACACCAGTAATGGCGCATTTCCACTACACGGCCTCGCTCGGTATGGCTAGGCCTCGTTAGGACTGGCTCACTTTATGGCGCATTTCCATTACAGTTTAGGAACTGGGGTAGTATCTATAGTAACGCAGTGTAGGCGGAGCCGTGACGTCATCTTCAATGAGAACCCCAGAAAAACAACACAGCCGTTAGCTGTTAGCACTCAGAGCTCACAGCTCCTCATATATGTTCAGAAACTAGACAAAAGTTAAACAAGTACAAACCACAGACTGCCTGTGTCATGGTGAATACAGTCGCTGCTTTATTTATGTCTGTATAGGCCGTTGTTGTGAGTGTGGACGGTCGGAGCATATACTGCGTTAGCTTAGCCAATCTCCATTTAGAAAACACGCATTTCAAAAGGTTTTTCGCCTGCCGTCTGTCTGCAGACTTGACAAAGCATTAATTCATGGTTTTTACTAACCGGTATCAGTATGTTGTTACTTCGGCATCATTTTGAAACGTGTATTACAATTAAATCACGGTCAAATATGTCCATCTTGTTGTAGTTGTAGCCCCCTTGCCAGCGATGCTCTCTCTAGTTTAGCATACTCAGCCTGACTCAGCCTCGTTGTCTCTGGCCCTAGACCCACGATTTTATGAGGCCAGAAAAACTGTGAATTAGGACCCGCCGGCCGGTACTAGGCCAAGTGGAAACGCAACCAAAAACGGGCCGCTGACGTCACAGCCCTCTTAAACCGCGCTGTAGTGGAAACGCGCCATAATAGAGCTCACACTGTCCCCTCCTCACAGCAGAGAGCTGCGCAACGTCCCGCCAACACGGCACCCAGACCCCACGCAGCATTCTCATCTGTTTGTCATTACTGGTGTCATTTTCTGGTTGCTAACGCCATTGTAACACATAATCACTAATGTTCCGCTGTAACGGTGGCGGACTCATCAGACCAATCAGAGTACAGTGGGCTCATAGGGAGGAGGGGGGGCAGGAGCTCCAACAAGGCGTTTAGGACAGAGAGTGAATACACATGCTATACAGAGATGCTGTATGAGAAACCAATGTGAGTTTGGAAAATTACACAATATAAATCTATTCTAGTATACCCCAACAATGGAATTATGATCAGTAGAAATGGCCATGACATGGGACCTTTAACATCTTTTAAATTGAGATTGAAGGTGTAGTTTAGAGGTGTGAGACAAACTGTCTACTGTGAATACTTTACAAACAAAGCTCCTGATGTGTGATTTATTTTGCTGGTATCCACTTAATTATATTGTGGAAAGACGATTAGCAGTCAGTGGATGTTATTAATGTGTTCATTTGGCCCATTCATTACGGCTACAAGACATTTTATAAAGCTCTCTTTTGCCGCTACATCCTCATTCCCCATTTCTTGTTTGGCCAGACTTTCTCTGTGGTTTACACTTCTATGTATTCATGTTGTCTGCTTGTTCTATTTAATTTGTACCTCATTTGCTGAATCATTTTCATATCTGTTCTTCCCCTCAGTGTCAGCAACAGCTTTCTACCGCGCTCAGCCTGTGATAGAGTTCATGTGCGAGGTGCTAGATATTCAGAACATCAACGAACAAACCAAACCACTAACTGACTCGCAGCGGGTCAAATTCACCAAGGAAATAAGAGGTGAGCACTCAATACCAGCACACACACCAGTGTTTCCCCTAGGTTTACTGCTTTGGGGGGGTGCTGCCTGAGCGGGAGGGGGGGGTGTCATTGGGATATATATGTTTTAAATCCTCTGGAGCAGAGAGAGGAGCTGTGGATTATTGTTATTGATTAATGCATCAGTGTTTCTTAAGGTCAAACACACTAAACTCACAACTTAAAATGAAAGTGTTTAGTTTATTTAATAAAAGAGCACATGTTCAATGTGAAAAGTGACAGTAGATATAGATTAGTTGCAATTTGGTGCTATATATATATAAAAAAATTATAATAATAAAAATTAAATTATAATTTCTTTTCTTTTTTGAAACACCTTGAATTTCAGGGGGGGGCGCGGGGCTCCGTTCGTGGGGCGCAGCGCCCCTCCAAGACAATGGTAGGGGAAACACTGCACACACATTATGCAACACCTTTACCAAAAGTAGAAAAAAGGCCAAGGTTTCCAGACATTATAAACACAACGTGTGTGACTCACTGTGTATCAAATTCCTCACTAGATTGCAGATAGGTGTGGCCTGCAGAGCACATGCATGTTTGTTTTTATGCAGTGTGTAAACCTGCACACATATATAATAATGCTGTATACCCACCACAATACACACAGCTAAGCCTTTACAAATGCTAAACATTTGTATTGCATATCCATATACAGTATTTACTCTACTGTACAATATTTAATTTAACATTTTCTTTATCTTAATCTCTTATTTGTATGTGTTTCTCTTATTCCTGCAACTTGCCTGCACTTGTCTATTGGACTATTTCATGTGATTTTATTTTTGTTTCGTATGTTTCATTGCTGGAGGAGCCTGAGACTTAAGACTTTCATTGCCAAAACGATGCTCTAGCTAAAATAATAATAAAGCCTTTAAATCATTGATTTTAACCTCAGTGGCAAAGGACGGTATTTCTCAAATCACAAATACATGCGATTAACACAAGTATTCATAGCGAATCTCCTGAATAAGGCTTTTAACTCACAATTTATTTTAAAACAAGAAAATACTCGCGTTCAGAGTTCTGAAAACTTCAGTCTCTCTTTGGTATTTACTTCTGTTATTGCAAATACACAGAGAAGCACCATATATGCTTGAGAGGGTGACATTTCAATACCACATTTTCTACGGCAGACACTTGTAAGCTCTCTAAATTCTCCTCTGGTTTCTGTTTTTAGCCAAGTTGAAACAAATGTGTAAAGGGAAACTAAAGACCTGCTTATACACGCTGTACGATACGCTAAGGGCTGTCTGTCAGCATTTGTCTTTATCATGGCCTGAAAGCAACAGTAAAGAAACACAAGAGTGCGATTCCAGCCTGCTCAATTTAAAAGATCACAGTTAAACGATCTTAACATTTCTAATTGTAGCTAGTCGTCACATGGCAGCACCTCTCCCCATGCCTCTGTAACCATTGTTGTTTGATTTTACACAGGTTTGAAAGTTGAGGTCACACACTGTGGTCAAATGAAGAGGAAGTACCGTGTGTGCAACGTGACAAGACGACCTGCCAGCCACCAAACGTAAGAGCCTTCACTCATCAGTTTATTCACCTTCATGTGTCAGCATAGGACACATTGTGTGTGTGTATCAAATAAAAAATCGCAGAATTGTACAATATTTACAAATTATGCAACTTTAATAATTTTTTTCTTTCCTTCACAGGTTCCCCTTACAACTTGAGAACGGCCAAGCCATGGAGTGTACCGTAGCTCAGTATTTCAAGCAGAAGTACAATCTGCAGCTCAAATATCCACATTTACCCTGCCTGCAAGTAGGACAGGAACAGAAGCACACCTACCTTCCCCTGGAGGTGAGAAACAGGCTGCTCTTAAAGGGCTGTCCTCCACTTAAGACATTTTTAGTCGACTAACACTTGTTTGTTGGCAAATCGATTTGTTCATTTATTTTATGAGGAGTCGAAGGAACGGCTATTATTCCATTTTACACATGCATTCATACAAGTCTCTCAACCACATACAAAACACAATAAAACAACACCGCGTGTAGCTCCAAGATCTCAAAGATAAAGGTCCTTTACGGAGATATAAAAATGAGTTATTGAGTTGTGGTTTATCAGTAATTCAATAAATCCACAGAGCAAGTTATATAAAATCGTATTGATTGTATTGTATCATATATATCTAATTAAAGTTGATTTAAAATAATTGATATTAGGTGGATTCATGTAATGTGTCTTCCTGCTCTCTAGGTCTGTAACATAGTAGCAGGCCAGCGATGTATCAAGAAACTGACAGACAACCAGACGTCCACCATGATCAAAGCTACAGCTCGCTCCGCCCCCGACAGACAAGAAGAGATCAGCCGACTGGTGAGTGGGATTTGAAGCTCTTCATACTGAATAAAGGGAGAAATCCACAAGACAAATCAACTTTTTTTGCATTTGTCCTTACTCATTTGTCATTCCCATTTTCCTGTCATTCTTTTCCTTACCTCTCTTCTCGTTTTCCAGGTCAAAAGTAACAGCATGGTTGGGGGCCCAGACCCTTACCTGAAGGAATTTGGCATCGTGGTTCACAATGACATGACGGAAGTGACTGGGAGGGTCCTTCCTGCACCCATGCTGCAGTACGGGGGCCGCGTCAGTACAGACACGGGGAGAGACTGCGGCAGGGTGAGTACCGGGGTGGGGCGGCACTGTTGGGGAGCTCGACTGACTGGGATTGGACAGGCCAGGGGGCATCAGGGTGAATGCTGGGAAAATGGGTGTGGGTCCAAGCTTGCAGAAAGAGTGGATCATTTATGATGTACACAATTGAGCAGCGCATTACTGGAAACAAAATGGAGAAAGATTCACATTAAAATACTTTATTTTGAAATTGGCTATACCATTTACTAAATAATATAACCTCAAACAGTAGCATTGCAAAGCGAGAGGAGAAGAACACCTCCTTAATTTTTCTGAAGAATCATTTTTCGGTTGAATCATCTGTCCAAAAAATATCTGGTTTCTTTCAAAACAAGTTGCAGGTACAAGCCGGTGTTCATAAATTAAATGTGAGATTTGAACTATGAATCCTACTGTTAATTGACTTGCTTTATATTCCAACTGAATTTGAGATGAATTTTGCCAAAACTTAGATTTTCACATCTGATTGGCTCCTTCTCCATAGCAACAGCAGCAGAGGCTCATGGGTATTGTACTATTTAGAGTCGCCCACCATGCCAATTTGTTGAACAAAACATGATTTTTGTTTTTCAGAAAGGAAGTTGTTATATTTCGAACAGGGCGCCATGACTTAAACCTTTCTTGAGTCCTTTTTTCCTATGTGAAGTCAAATTGAGGATGTCATTAAAGGATATAGAATAAGGAAAAACACCTACAGGACCATCTTCTCCTCTGATTTCTCATCCACAACTCTAAATACAGTGTATGACTTCAGATGTTGACTAGATACAATATTCAACTTAAAAATGTGCAGACCTGTAAAACCTTGAACTTGCGTATCTGCACTTTTTTCCCCCCCTTTTTTTAGCATTCGGTAGTGTCTGTCTGCAAGTGAAGGAATAGAGATGAGCAAGTCACTGCAACATGCTGAGGTTTACTCTGAATCTGAAATCCGCCTTTCATGTAAACAAAAGACATAACTGAGCATTTTATCTAGACAAAAGAATGGGTGTGTTGAACAGAGACTCGTAGCTGTCCACTATTCAATTAAAACCTGTCCAAAAGACTCGTGTCAAAAGCCTGTTTGACTTAATATCCTATCTGAAAAGTCAAATAAAATACTAAAAGTGCTGGAATATAACCCCCGATTGAGAGGCAGCGGTAGATGATGCTGAGATGAGATGAAACTTTATTGCCCCCTGTGGGGGAAAATGGTCCAGGCTTTTCCCTTTTTTTCTTTCCAGTTTATTATCAAATCTACTTTCCCAGAATTACAGAATAACTTTGCTTTGGTAAAATCTAAAAGCTCCTATGTTCCAGTGCCAAGCTCAAATCCTGCTATTGGCTAATTTACCCAAGATCCTATCACAACGCTCTCTCTTGGCGACTTGCCTGCTGGGATATGGAGTCTAATCGGCTTCCAGTGAAATGCCTTTAAATGCAGACGGAGAGCCTTTTCCATTCCTGTGATCACTCGGTATGAATGAAATACATCTTTCATTTTAAAATGGCTTGCTGATGTTGGCAGACAAACAGTTCCATCAAAGTATTCTCATTTAAAAAAAGAATACTGCCTGAAGTGACTGTGCAACATCTGAAGAAGCAGAAGCAGCAGTCTATTTCCTGTACACTGAGAAGAAGTATTTTCTTTTTTTGACAGTCTGTAATTTATTAGGTAGTTAGACATCCTGCAACTTTAATCCTGCCGAAGATCCTCTGAAGACTATCTTGTAATGAGATGGAGAAGCTCTTAACTTTTCTTGGCACACAACTCAAGTAGTTCATTGTGTTGCCTTGTTTCAGAGAATAACAGCCCTTAATGGCCTTTGGCAAATCTTGTTAACTAAATTGAAATCCACTGCGCTCTCAATTTGTATTCACAACCACAGTGCAAGCAGGAGCACTCACCTAATGACGCGTCTTCCAAGAGATGCACTACTCTGTTTGCTGCTCATGTCAGGACTCCTGAAGCTCTAACAACTGGACGCAATACAAACAGCATTTCTCTATGCTATAATATCAGTGTCCAACCTAGACTCTATAAACCTGGCAACACACAAAATCATTATTCAGTAAAAGCAGTTTGAAGCCTTTAAATGTGGTGTAATAGTTTGTTTGGTCTAGCTCAGGGGTGGCCAACCCGCGGCTCTCGAGCCGCATGCGGCTCTTTGCCCAGTTTCATACGGCTTTTCAGTTCATATCGAATTGTATATGTGTGAGTGTGGGGGAGAGACACGGACTCCTGACAGTTAAACCTGATATTTAGTAGGTCTGTTAAGTATTGAATGCTGATAATTCTGACGTAATTTGGCCGGTCAAAGTTGTTTGGGCTCGGATAAAATCGCTCCGTTACTTTCGTCCCGGCTCTCCCTACGTGTGTGTGTATGTGTGGTGTCAGGTGTCAGTATGAGAGGATGACAGCGCGTCTAATTTTGATGTGGCCCAAGAGCCAATCACAATAATACCTGCGATGCAGTGAACCAATCACCTTTGAGGGGGGGAAAACCTATCGTTGATTAAACACTATCTGACCATGAACTGAGTTTGATCCTAAAATGGCAGGGAAGAAATGGACAGCTAAGCGAAAATATGAAGACGAACATAGGACGTTTTTAGTAGAGTGGGAGAGTTCATATTTTTTGATCGAACGGCCACAACAATAAATAAAAGCCAGATTTGAGGAGGATTGTTCAAAGCAAGGAATGTCAGAAGTCCCACTAATTTAAAGTAAGATAATAAACCTTTTCAATTTTGTTTACTGAGAGTTTGTGTGCGAGTGCACACACTGTTCATTGTTATGTTGTTATGTTAACTGGCCTCTGAATACTGGTAGGAGAGGTTTAATTCAATTTCTGTCAATATTATGGTGTGTGACATTTGCAATAAATCTGTCAGAGCAGAGCTATGTGTGTTTCTCTGTGTGGGGTGTGTGTGTGTCTTTGTGTGTGTGTGTGTGTGTACAGTTTTAGATTTTCATTTTATCTGTGAGAGAGAGAGGGGAGGAAGAAAGTGAAGGAGCACAGAGAAAGGCTGAGAACAAAAGAGAGAAGGGGGGGGTGCACGCGCATCTGTGACTGTGTGTTTGATGTGGCTCTTTGCAGTAACATAGTAACATTTTTGGCTCTTAACCTCTGACTGGTTGGCCACCCCTGGTCTAGCTAATACTGTCTATTTCTGCTGGGTGGGCTTTAATGCATTATATTTGTCTGTTTATGGGATTGAACATAAACAGTAGTGGCTGTACTACCTGTTTTATCTGCTCAAATACCCGGTAGATTGACTAAGAGTAGGGACTCTCTCCGCAGAACAAAACCGTGGCCACGCCCAACCAGGGCGTGTGGGACATGAGGGGGAAGCAGTTCTACGCTGGCATTGAGATCAAGGTCTGGGCGGTGGCCTGCTTCGCGCCGCAGAAACAGTGTCGAGAGGACCTGCTAAAGTAAGTCAACTTTACATTTGATCATGAGGCTTGTGCAGATGTACTTAAGAAGGGATGGGGGGGGGAAAGTCACAGAAGAAAGTAAATGCCAGCAGGGTCTTTGTACCATACATGATTTCCTTTTAATCCACGCGAGCGGCATGGCTTTATGGATGTCTTTTGGTTAGATGGTTCACCACTTTGGTCCAGACTTAAATATTTTCATCAACTATTGGCAAACACTGATGACGGATGATGTGTGACATTGACTATGACATTAATTAACACATTTATACCCGCTATATTGAATGTGATTTAGATGTTCTCTCTCTTATTCTGCTGATTTCTGATGAGTATATTACACCTTTCAACAGGAGCTTCACTGACCAGCTGCGAAAGATCTCAAAGGATGCTGGGATGCCCATTCAAGGCCAGCCGTGTTTCTGTAAATACGCCCAAGGAGCTGACAGCGTGGAGCCCATGTTCAAACACCTCAAGATGTCTTACGTTGGTCTGCAGCTGATTGTGGTCATCCTGCCCGGCAAAACACCAGTCTATGGTGAGCTTTTAACTTTAGTAAATGAGGAAAAGTCAAAGCTATTTCAGATATTAAGAGGGTCTCGTATGTTGAAATGCAATTTTTGATTCTATAAGAAATGATTCCGTTTTTGAACAAAAAGTGGATGTGGATTATCTCTGTTTTTGTCTCCAGCTGAGGTAAAGCGGGTGGGTGACACTCTGCTTGGAATGGCGACCCAGTGTGTGCAGGTGAAGAACGTGGTGAAGACCTCCCCTCAGACCCTCTCCAACCTCTGTCTCAAGATCAACGCCAAGCTGGGGGGCATCAACAACGTCCTGGTGCCTCACCAGAGGTCAGAACAGATTTTATTATTATAGATTATTTGATGCAGTCCAAATTGGAATCTGCCATGCTTCTTGGCTTTGAATGATCAGAATCAGAATACCTTTTATCTGGCCAACAAAGGGGACATTTACATTGTTACAGCGAAAGTAAAAACCCAAAAATAACTTGATATTAATTAAGAATCATGCATAAAATATTAAAGATAGAAAATAGAAGTTACAGAAATTAAAATTGACGAAATAAACATCCGATACCAGTGGTGGTATTTTTTAAAAAGACCAACAAGAAGTGTAGCATGTATAAAATAGTGTGATAGCAGCCAGGTGATAGTATTTAAAAATGGTAGTATATATTGCACTGTTATTTACAGATTTATTACAGAAGTTGAACTGTCTAACAGCAGCCAGTAATACAAATATTAATTGTAGTTTGGTCAGATGTCTACAGTCTTCTGGTAATCATGTGGTGAAGGGGAATCCAAGTAGTAATAACGTTTCATAAAAATTTAGATGTTCTTGCTCATATAATATTTGTAACTTTAATTATGATATTTTGATCCATTTTCTCACACTATTCTCCACGTTCTTAATGTCCATGGTTCAGAAATTAAATGAAAAATACAATGTACAGCTCTGTAACTGTTTTTCTTCTTCTCTTGTGTCCTGTCCTCGGTCAGGCCCTCTGTGTTCCAGCAGCCGGTCATCTTCCTTGGCGCAGACGTCACACATCCTCCAGCAGGCGACGGGAAGAAGCCGTCCATCGCGGCGGTGGTGGGCAGCATGGACGGCCACCCCAGCCGATACTGCGCCACGGTGCGAGTCCAGACGTCGAGACAAGACATATCCCAAGTATCAGCGGTGCGTATCGGTGCTCTTATTAACTCTTTCTCATTCCAGTGTATCCAAGTTTGAATGCCTCACTTTGGCATGGTCCAAACTCTCTTCAGTCAGTAACTTTTCTCAAACTATAACTCCTACAGTGCCCTCCGCCTCCGACTCATCAGGAGCAGCTCTTCAGTCAGGAAGTGATCCAGGATCTGACCAACATGGTGCGAGAGCTGCTCATCCAGTTCTACAAGTCCACGCGCTTCAAGCCCACACGCATCATCTATTACCGGGGCGGTGTGTCTGAGGGACAGATGAAACAGGTGAGAGCTTTGCAGTATTTTCTTTAAGCTTCTCCAGATGTTTTCTACCATATTTGTGTAGTCCAAAGTGTGTTCAAGCCAGAAATAGCAGCTGTGAGTCATTGTTGGAATGGGCTGTCAAAACCATGTATTTTGGATTTTAACCTTTTAGTTTTCTTTGTATTTTTATCATATTTCTTATATTTGCACTCTTCCCACTCACTTGGTCATAGGATAAATAAAGTGTATCCCATCTGACACCCTGCTTGAGTTCAAATTAAACAAACAAAATGCCACAGAAAAATGATATGCAATACTAATCTTGCAACACATGTGGCATTGGATAATTTTCAATTGTTTGACTTTTTTCTATTTCAGGTGGCGTGGCCGGAGCTGATAGCCATCAGGAAGGCCTGCATCAGTCTGGAGGAGGACTACAGGCCGGGCATCACATACATCGTTGTTCAGAAACGTCACCACACCCGTCTCTTCTGCTCTGACAAAGCTGAGAGGGTCAGTAGGAGTTTACTTACACGTGTGGTTTTAAATTGTTTTTCCTATTGTACAACTATTGTTTTGTAAAATCTGAAATGTAATCTGATTGATCCTCTGCTGCAGGTGGGGAAGAGCGGTAACGTCCCAGCAGGCACCACGGTGGACAGCACCATCACACACCCGTCCGAGTTCGACTTCTACCTGTGCAGCCATGCTGGGATTCAGGTAAACACACTTGCACACAAGAACAGAAATTCTTTGTGGTACATTTTAATATCAGAAATAAAAATGCAACTGTGCATTGTGTCTAGCTCCAGATCTCCATGTCACTTTTGCAGTTTTGTAATGGTAATGGTACATATACACACAACAAAGGAAAATTGAAATTTTGCAAAGTTCTTATCAGTTTAAATGTTCTTCAAGAGACGGCCATTTTCCTCTGTGGTTACCACGGTGATTATGGTTTGTGAAAATAAACAGCCTGGTATAGAGTCCTCTCTTGACATCCAATGGTTCAGATGTTTTTTTGAATGAATACTTCCCCTAAAACATACATTTTGTGTAAATCACTTGTCAACTTTAAATTAAAGAAATGTGCCTGCACACAGACATTTGCAGAGTTTTGTGCATATAACAGCTGGTCAGTTTATCCAATATAATAAGAGTCATGATAATATTCAAACTATTTGTGTAGCACAGTTTGAGTCTTTTGTGGTCAGCTAGAGATACATTTACTTTTAACTATTTTTAAATTTGATAAAACATGATCAATATAGAGTGTGCAAACTATTTCACGCTGGTGTGTTTTTCTGATACGGGTGAATTAAAACGTTGAATCTCATAGTGTATTTAAGAGGAGCCACTATGGGGGTTTCTTACTATAAATATGATTTATTTTTTGTGTCATAAAGTAAAGGTGCTTATTATTACACCAGATTAAATGATCAGTACTTAATTAAACGTTTTTCCCCGTCTTCCCTCAGGGAACCAGTCGTCCCTCCCACTACCACGTCCTGTGGGATGACAACTGCTTCACTGCTGACGAGCTGCAGCTCCTCACCTACCAGCTGTGCCACACCTACGTCCGCTGCACCCGCTCCGTCTCCATCCCCGCTCCTGCCTACTACGCCAGGCTGGTGGCTTTCCGAGCCCGCTATCACCTGGTGGACAAAGACCATGACAGGTGAGCCGCCAGGGGTTTCTGTGTTTCCAGAGCAAGAAAGATGATTTATCACGGCTCAAGCTTTGTGTCCAATCATAGACGATGGGATAGTGTTGTCCTGATACGGTAACTTCTAACCTTTTAAAAATAGTGATATTCTCAACCATTTTCATACGATATGGCTTAATTGACAACATTGAGTGGCTAATAATTTTATTTTTTATTGTAATATGAATATGACAAGGCTATAACATGACGGTGACTTTTCTTAGCTAGTAGCAGAAGAATGCAGAAAGACTGTAGGGGACAACCAATAATTTAACATTTTGTCAACTCACTTTTGGAGGGTATAGGGTGAGAAAATGCAGTGGCTATAAATGATATTGTCAACATTTTTATTGAAACAGTTTCAATATTTTTGAATAGATTCATGTTTAAGAAAAACAACATTTTGGACAACATTAACAAGGCACAAGAAAATCTAACTTGACTAATAAGTTGATTCAACAGTTTTGTTTTTTCTCAAAGAATCATGCAATACACACACTTGTTTAACAAAAAGTGGCACATTAGTTTCTTAAATATGTCATTCAGCATGGCAGAAGCATTAAATATACTAAACAACAATAATATTAGTCGACTCGGACCTAAATGACTAGTTTAGTTGACGAGTCTCCTTTGGATGTGCATGTTGGATGTACCTCTATGACATCCATCATTTCGTGTCTGCGGCGCCATTAATAATATTTGTTTTAAAGTGTAAATAAAATGAAAAGGGTCTGTATTATTAATGAAGAGGAGAGGGAAAGCACTCAGAATCAAAGCCCATGTGTTTCCAGAGGTAAGACACTGAACCCTTTGCCTGCCAGAACTCAGCTCCTGATCCCTGCTTTCTTCCCTGTGCCCTGTAGCCCCTGCATTTCTGTGATTGGATCCTCCCTGACAGTCAAAGTAACCTCTGCCTCTCTCTGTCTCACAGTGCTGAAGGGAGCCACGTGTCGGGCCAGAGTAACGGCCGGGACCCGCAGGCGCTGGCCAAGGCGGTCCAGATCCACTATGACACCCAGCACACCATGTACTTCGCCTGAGCTAGCGAGCATGTCAGCCAGTCCACCCGCGGATTCCCTTTTCTTTTTCTTCTTCTTTTTTCTTCGTCTTTTACTCTCTTATTTGCCAGTCCTTCTCTTTTCCTCTCCCACATCTCTTTGTAGTCTATCTCATTCTCTTCCCACTTTTTCTGAATCTGCACCAAAGCGGCTCTTGGACGGGGGGGGAATCTGCTGTGTCCCAAAGTCCAGCAGGTTTTTTTTATTACACGGAACAATTTCCAACCAGCGTTCCCAAATCGAGCCGCCTCAAAAACCAGCAATCAAGCACTGCGAACCCCGAGGGTTTCCAATGCACAAAAAGAAAAAAAGAAAACAACGGAAAAACAAAAACAAACCATACACACGCACATACTACACGTTGAGCCATTTCTTTTGAGTTTGTTTTTTTCTATTTGAATGTCTGCTCTCTTGCGTTTGTAAGATACACTGAGCGAGGGAGTGGATGGCACAGTGTGTGTCAGCGCAGCTCTTTAGCTCTCCCAGCTAAGCAGGACTCTTATCTACTTTTACCTCAAAGCCCCTTTGGGCAAAAATCTGTCACAAGGTCTTGGGTTTAGTGGGTGGTCGGGAGGGAAACTCTACATGAAACAGAGACGGAGTCGACCTTTTTGAGAATGATATATATTTTTTTTTTTCCTTTTTATGAGCGCGTGTTTTAACTTTTTCTCCTTTTAACGGTCTTTAACAAGCGAGGTGACCTGGGTGTCCATGCCCATTACTATTTTCCTCCCATCATAGCGAAGAATACGCCAGTCTGTATGTGTGAGTGTGTTTGTGTGTGTGTGCATCTGTATATACATGTACTGCTGTATGAGAGTGTGTGCATGTGTGTTTCATGGCAGGCCACTGAATTGTAAAGGGAAATCAAGGAGATAACTGCTGTAAATGCCTCAGATTTGTTGTTTTTATATTCACACATACAGTACATATAAGCATATATTTACATCTATAGAGCAACTTTGAGACATATGACTTAATCAGGCCTCATAGAGGCGGGTGTGGGTTTTTTTGTAGCAGTCCTGGGTCACTTATTAATTGAAATGCTTTGGATCACCTTTTTTTTAACATAGCTCGATCTGGATTACGCACGTTTTGGGAGCCAGATGTTCCTTTTGTGCCTCAAAACATTGTTGAATCCCAGAAAAAAAGCAACTTATTTCATTTCAAGTAGTAAGTGAAGTCAGGTCTGACTGTAGCAGTGGTAACCGTGGTCTGGCTCAGCATTGGGACCTGTTGAATGGCTGAAGGCATTTAAGGCAGAGTAGGGTCTTTATCAGTCCCGCAGTTAGTGTGAAGAGCAGGATCTTATTTTTCTTTGGACCTGAAAGATTATATGATGACACTGCTGGACGTTGCTTTTCTTTTCTTTTCGTTTGTAGATGTAGTTTCAAGGGCCGGAAAACCAACGTAGTTTTTTTGAGGTCTCCTTTGCTAATATTGGCCAATTCATTGCACTGACCCGGGACGCTAGGCAACAGAGGGCACTCTCAATCTCTCTTACCTTTATGCATTTATACATACGAATCAACAAAGCAGATTTGTAAAAGTTTAATATAAGATGTTTTGTGGTTATCCTTAAAAAAAAAAACTGTTTAGAATTAGTAGTTTACCATTGATGTTGTTGTTGTTATCGTTGTTGTCGATGTTGTTACTATCGTGATGAAATGTTATGGTCGGCAGCGAAAGCCAGTTATATAGTTACTAGTGCGACTTCAGGAATAGACTTCAGTTGTTGAGCTGCAGGTTAGGGGGGTAAATAGGGTGGAATTAATTTGTAGCACTCTGGCTAACGGTGGGAAGAAGTAGGACCCCAGAACCGGTGATTTCATGCTTCCTCTGAAGGTAAAGGAGTGGCATTTTAGCGGTGGAATCGAGGTATTGTGTAGCACTCTGACTGGTAATGAAGATCAGCCGCTGCCTGTTTCACTCCACTGGTTTCAGTCGTGTTGGATCGGACGGATGGAGACAATCAGGGATCGTAATCGGAGTGAAACCTAGATTAAGGGATTTGTTTATAAAGCGGTTTGCGATTGGCAATGAGTTGAATTTTTAGACTTTTTAAAAAAACGGTTTCTATTGCTGTGTGTATTTGAAGTATACCCACCTTCTCTGCTATTTGACGGTATTTGTTTCATACTTTTATGCATTTTTAACACTGGATTGAATAAATTGACAATAAGCATAAGCACTGCCCTTGGACCCCTCCCGTATGGCAGACTGTTACCATGGGAACTGTGAGGCGCTGTGGTGACTGTTGGTGTTGCGATTGGATAGAGAGAGACAGTCGACGTGCACGCCTCATCAGGAGGGGACGCTCAGAGAAAACCCTTTTGTAATAAACCACCCGTAAAGCAGCAGGTTTACTATGAATGAGTTTGAGCACCTTTCTGTTGAAGGCGTGGGCATCGGCCGGGCGCAGAGAGGCGGGACATGAGGAGGCCAGTGGGGGGGGATGTGGAGGGTGTTGTCCAGGCATTGCATGCAATAAGTTTTACTCTTCGTTCAAAGGGGGCGGATCAGTTTTTAAAACGTGCACTAGTTTTATCAAGCCAAGCGGGCTGTGATTAAATATTCATTTGGCATCTGTAATGGGGAATGATTCGATGTTTTTAATCCTTACCAATATTTGATCGTTAAACTGCAGTCAGATCAATGATCACTCCCTGTTTGTAACATGACATTGCAAAGCAATATTAACCAAGTTTTCAAATGTGGAAAAACAAAGCTATAATTCTACTCATTGTGGTTGTCTGTCTCTCGCTATTGTGTATCTGTACTATTATTATTTTTTTTTTACTTTTTTTGTTTATTTTATTTGCTTGTATCAATCAGTGGGAATGTGCATTTGGTGAAATAGTTATGTAGACATTTTCTTTAAAGTAACTAAAATGTAGACTTTGCTCACCTGCATGCCAGAGTATTGTCCTTTTATAAAAAGAAAAAAATCTTTTTTTGAAATCATATTTATTATGAGAAAGGAAAAAAATATAAACGCTTTTTTTGGGTAGATGTTTATCAATTTTAGTGGGACTGTTTTAGGCTAGCAATATTTGTCCAGTCTCTGAGATGCATTTTAAAGATTCCTACACAAATGTCAGTAATGGGAGGTACAAGCTGTTTTCTGAGGGGAGGGGGCCCAGCTCTTTGCGTCGTGTTCGAATTAAAACGAGGTACTTTCTTCAAACGTGAGCCCGCTAAAGACTGAACCCCTCTCCTCTTTACCAGGTTTTTCGTAGGGAGCATCCATTTTGTCTCCTCGTTCCTGGTTTGTACCTTTTGGCCACGCCTCTTTGGTGGGGGCTCTCCTGTCTCCATGGCAACTCTGTTGACCTCTCACAAATGCACTTCCTTTTTGTGAAGGGGTCCCCATGGCATCAAGGGAGCAGGAATACCTCTTTTTAACCTTTTTAAAAAAAGATCCATAATTCTTTCTGTCCCCTGATAGAGAGCATGAATTATTTTTAAATTCCTCTCACTTTGATATATTGTTATATCTTAAAGGATTTGTAATTTGACATTGTGTATTGTATATTAAAATTTTATTTTGTTTTCCCTTATCGGTTCCTTTTTTGGGGGGTTTGTTATAGTTCTGCTCTTTTTCTTTTTCTGCTAGTGGTCTTCTGAAGCTGTGTGTGATTGTCTGATGGCAATAGAATCATAGAATTGGATCATTCCAATTCAGTGAATGGAACGCGCCGATTTTGTGAATGAACGGATCCCTTTCTGACCGGTAGTAAGAGGGCGGGGCATGTTCTAGCTCCGCCCTCCCCAGCAGAGGGCCATTCACTCACTGTTATTGCTATTTTGTGACATGTTCAATTACCTTGTTTTTTTTAGCCTGCAGGGAATTCTTGTGTTAATGTGCAAAGTAATAAATTGGTATTTTATGCCTATAACAGAGCTGGTGTGTTCTCGTGATTGATGACAGATGGCATATATTATGCCACTGTGGGATTCCCAACATCCGATCTTAATGCGTCCCAATGAAAATGCTCTGGAAAACCCCAGACACACTCAGCAAAATGCAGTTTGAAATATTAAAAGACTCACGCCAAACCAAACCATCTCCTAATTTACAACCCTGTTGGGATACATTTCTCTTGCATGCTTAGTTCCAATAGAAATGTCTTCACCACCTCAAAATATAAGTCCTGTCATCATTAAAAATTGTACTTTCCTTAGAAAATGTAATTGAAATGAACCATATTAAAGGACAGATGGATAAAGCTAAAACCGTTTTTTATAAGAATGATATCGAGCAGAACTCAACTGAATGGAATTTGAAGTGTATGTTTGACAACACACTGCATTAAACACCTCTCAAAGTAAATATCAACGAAAAAGGTAATGCTTAGGTGTCCAATTCGGGGTACAATGGATTACATTTATAGACATTTGTTCCCCCTATTATGTTAATTTTCCTTTCCTTATGTTAAAACATCGCACCAAAAAAAAAGCTGCAATAAGGCAACTGTTTGAGTCCAGTAGTTGATTATACACACAATGTCTCTCTGTGCATGTACTTTGTCACTAGATGGCAGTCTTTACCCGTGAACAGGTTCCCATGATTACTGGGAACAGTAAAACATTAATGATCTATCCATTTCCTCAGCTCGATGGTCATCTTAACATGAAGTGACATGAATGCGACATGAAGATCTCTTATTTTCTTACAGACTGGACGTCGTCCCATGTTAGGCAGTGAAGATGCAGTCAAGCTGAACTTCCTTAAGTGAGCGCCTTTCAAGTACAGAAAATAAGCCGATCTTATCTTTAAATTGAGACCAAGCCTAGGCCTGAGGATAGATTAACTCCAACAATTACACTAAAACAAGGGGTTACCAGTATAGCAGCATTTAACATATTTGCAGGTACACTAAAGTGTCAGTAAGTCCACTGAATTCACTTTTATATTGAGAACTCACACATTACCATACTACATTTTATTTTTATTAGCTCATTACAAGAAGTCCAGTAACATTTATAAAGGATTATAAGTTGAAGTGCTTTTACTACTATAATATGATGAAAGAGAAGCTGTGGTTCAAACAAGCTAAAGGAACACAAACTAAATAAATTAGAAGAGATAACTATTATTTTCAGGTAAACTAAAAGAAGCAATCAACTTAAAATAACCTTTCAAACATAGTTTTGATTAATTGTCAACATTATTTATTCTACGGTTGGGAACATTTATTGGTTGGTGGCTCAATTTATTTGAAAGCAATGGATCAAAACAAAATAAAAAAGCCAATCTTTCATCTTGCCTTGGTTGACAAATGTGTGTCGCTATTATTTTATTCAAATTAGTTAAAGATGTTAATGTCAAGTTACCATTCAGAAGTTATTCGAAAAACCTATTTCTCATTCAGTTTTCAATTTAGCCCTGTTATGTTCCAACCCCTGCACCCCCTCTGCTCCTGGGGCCTCAGGTAAAAGAGGTCACGCAGTCAGCTGGTATGAACTTTGGAACAAGGGCATTCATACAAATTACAATAATTTCCATTATCAGTATCGTTTTACTGTATGTAAAACAAGAACGTACATAATCTAGTTATTTCTCCTAATTACGATGAAAATGAGGCTGCATGGCTTTAGTGTGATTTCACTACAACAGGCACGCACCTTTATCTGTGTTTATTCATTCAGCCTGGGTAGCCATCATTGGTATGTGTCACCTTCCTCTGCTTCCATTTGTGTATCATCTCGTTTCCTGTGTCCTGGCTGGTTGTCATGACCACTGTTACCAAGGAGAGTGGAGGCTACACAAGAAAGGAAACCTGAACCACAGATCTTGATGCCATGATATTTAATTCATCGACACGCCGGCACACCAAGGTTTGGTGTAACGCTGAGGGAGCGGGAGAAGGGACATTTCTAAATAAGACAAAGAGGTGCTGTCAGATCCTTCTGTTACAGCCTGGGTCTACTTTCTTCACCTCGAGCAGTTTATTTAAAAATATACTGATAACCTGTTGACATTTCAGCCACAATTTTGCTAAATGTAAATGAAAAATGTAAATGAAACTCCAAAAAAATCAAGTAAAGTCTCAGAAATGCAGGGTTTTGTTATTTTTTCTTTTGTCTTGGTATAACAATCATACAATACTTTTTGTTTTTAACCTTTGACCTGTGTATTTCTCCTCTGGCATTTCAACCCTAGTTATTGTTAAAAGAAAAAAAACCTATGCCTCCTTTTGTAAAGTGGTTTCTCCCTTTCATTGCGGACAAATAGCAGAATTAACAGCTCATATTTGTGAAAGCTCCCCTAAAATACGTACGAGTTTGTGAGATAAAAAGCAATACAAAGTATGTAATCCTCATTGTAGAGCCCCCCCCCCCATCTGTGTTGTCTTTGTGTTAACTGATCCACCTACAGACTGCTCTCCATCCTCGTCCATCCCTCCCTCCTTTTGTTGTCCCTCCCTCCCATCTCTTTTTTTTCCTAGGGTTCAGTGTTGCAGGGTTTGACTGTCAACAGTGAAGATTGGAAGAAGTGAACAGATGCTTTACGTACCCAGAAGTCTCACTGTTTGGCCCTGATTTGTTATTTATACCCTTGTTTGGAACCAGACGGACCCATTTGGGCTACGTTTCTACCGGAAGAAGCCGTTGGGGGCAGGGTGAAGCGGAGCAGTGAAGTGGCATCGTCCAGGCTTGGACCTCCGCGCCGTTTATTGTCAACAAGGAGATACTTCAACGGGCAACAGCAGCAGCGTCTAAGGACAACATCTGCTGGTTATTTTTCTCTGGAAACCTGGGCTTTATTTTTAAATCAGACACAGATTTTAAAGCCTTTTTTCTTGAGAAATTTGAGACTGATTCTTGGAGAAACCTGACTCTTTGGATTGACTCTTGGTTCATCTTGACAGGATGTTTGTTCCATTTATTCCGCATGGACTTAACATTGGATTACTTTAGAAGAGGTAAAAAGGCAACGCCAATTTTTATTCTGTATAATTAGACATCACCCTTCTAGACCTCGCTGTGACAGGATACACGCACAGTGGCATCAGTGGCCTTTCAATCCGAGTATCAGGTTATATCAGTGTGATCCATCTAGGTAAGGCTACACCGTACCAGGAGTGTGACACTGAAACATACTGCAGCTCAACAATTGGCCTCCTGGATTTGAACCAGAGCTGAAGGCAAAGAAACACTTCCACAAAAAAAAGCCTGGCTGGGATCAATTTCATCCACAAGACCTGGACCGTGAAGCCCAATCGATCCCACTACGGAGGACTGCCACAGGTGGCTGCACAGCTATTGGCTACTCAATAATGTATTGAGGAATGAAAAGGAGGAGAAAGTGCTACTCATACTGAAAAAGGTGGTTGATTGTAGAGAGAAAGCAAACGATAACTTCACAGTGAATTCTGGACTCAGTTAAAAAAGGGAGCAGATGTTGAAGAGGAAAAGAAAAAGGGAAGAAAATGGCTGCTGACAAAGTAGCATTGGGGCAAAGACCGTAAAAAAACTTGGCAACAGGAACAGTAAAAAAAACAAAGGAGTACTTTACTTTAAGGACAACAAAAGAGGATAAACAAATAAGAGGAAACTGTAGTAGACTAAGGGAAACTTGTGATTCTTCAGAGACTGGTCTAACAAACAATTGTCGTCATGGTGAACACTGGCATGCAGCTGATCAGCTTCACGTGCGCGGTGACCGGCTGGATCATGGCGATCGCCGTCACGGCCCTGCCTCAGTGGAAGGTCTCGGCCTTCATCGGCAGCAACATCCTGACCTCGGAGATCAAGTGGGAGGGCATCTGGATGAACTGCATCTACCAGACCACGGGCCACATGCAGTGCAAGACGTACGACTCCATGCTGGCCCTGCCCCCCGACATCCAGGCAGCCCGGGCCCTCATGTGTCTGGCCATCTTCATGGGATGGCTCTCCTGCACCGTGTCCTGCTGCGGCATGAAGTGCACCACCTGCGCCGGGGACGACCGCAGGGCCAAGGCGGGCATCGCGCTCGCAGGCGGGGTTCTCTTCATCCTCACCGGTCTCTGTGTGCTGATTCCCGTCTCCTGGACCGCCAACACCGTCATCCAGGATTTCTACAATCCCAACGTGCCTCTGATGCACAAAAGGGAGCTGGGCCAGGCCATTTATCTGGGATGGGCGTCTGCAGTTATCCTCATGATCAGTGGAGCTGTGCTGAGCAGCACCTGCCCCCTTATGGAGAGGAGCGGCAGGTACCGGAGGGGATACATCGGACGAAGCTTCGCTAATTCACCAGCTTCAGCACCAGATCCTCCGAAACCCATCACGTCTAATAGTGTACCAATGAAGGAGTATGTATAGGTGGGGGAGGAGGGAACAGCAAGTGAAGAGGGAGGAAGTTAGTGTGCTTCTTTCCTAAATGTCTCTATATACACATTGAAGTACATATATTTATTAATATATTCATCCTATATTTTGTATATCTCTTTGTAATGTTAAACCTGTCTGAAATTGTTGAGACCTGACGTTTGTTTACTGCACTGTGATTTAAAAGTAGTGCCTGAAGAAAGCCTATTGCCGAAATTGTCAGTTTATGACTGTTATGATGGCTTTAATGAGGGCTTGTTTTGTGAAGATTGCAGTGATTTCTTAAGCAGGTATTCTCTCACAATGTCATTACCTCTTTATTTGTCACATAAAGCCTTGACTGAGTGTGCCTACATTGAAAGTGTGAAATAAAATAAGTTTGTTAAAGCGTGTCTCACTTACAATCGTTATTGTTGCTAGTTGTTTGACTAAAACACATCACAGTCAACAATGTTGTCAAGTATGACATTTCGCAACTGGGTCATTTCTTTAGAACATTTTTATAATTTCCTCTACATCTTCAATTACCATAAAATGTCTGGTTCATGTGCAAAATTCCAATCCATGAATGTGTGCAGGGACATTTATTTAAAAAAAATAAAATGAAGTCTTTTCCATTTCATCGCCAGAAAAATCGTCCATCTTTACAATTGATGCTCTTCTCTTCTTCATAGAAATGCAGTCATATTTAAATCTGGTCAGAGTTGCACTTCTGTCGCTTTTCCTCTCCTCATTGGGACTCAATAAAGAAGTGCACTTTGCAAAGTGTATCTGCAAGAAAACAGACAAGTAGTGAGTTCACATCGCAATCTTTGTCACGCACACTGCTAACACAAACAGCTAATTAAACAACAGCCACTTTTTGGCTTTGTGTTGCTCTCTGGTCAGCTTGCATTAAAACACAAGTTATATACACTGACATTACAGCAAATAGTTTCAAATAGGGTAAGTGATATAGTTAAAATCAGCCTTTTAAGAAAGAGGATTCTATTAAATTATATTGCTGTCAAACTTTTTAAGCTCTAAAATCTTAACAGTACTTCACATAGTTTGGCCTTTTATCTAGGGTACAATAGTAATTACATTTAAGTAGTAACTCATTACATTTGGATTAACTGTTTATTTTTACGAGAATGCAATCATAAACTAACTATTAGTTATTATCCGAACAGAGCAACATTCAATATAAAGCAATTTACCTCTGATATGATCTCCTGCACTGGGAGACTCCAAAGATTTCCATCTTTTGGGGGCAGATTCTAAAAGGGAGAGATCATCTGGCCTCAGAGTCTGCAGCACAGTCTTCCTCCTCAGAAATCTGAACAAGAGTTAAGGAGAAAAAAGAACCCAAAACATAATGCAAATCAAATTCAAACAATGAACAATAACATAAAGGATACTGTTGCCGAAAGTGACGCTCAGCATCGTGCAGCCACCCCATCATGTCGGACACTGAGGGTCCGGTGGCAGATCGCTCCGTCACAGTGAGCAGATCCAGAATGTCTGCGTTCTGCTCGTAAAGATGGACCACCGCGGAGACCTGGTTACTGATGGAATCTCTGACAGACTGTAGAGAAGACCTGTGAGAAAAGGGATGGATCATTATTATTCTCGGGTTACATGTGTCACAACGCCAAACCTGGTTTTAAACCCCTTATTACTTTTTAGCTGTTATACTGCATTTCATCTTTTATTATAAGTAAATATGCAACAGTAGTACTGTTTTTTTATGGGAATCTGGCAGGAATACCTGCCTTTAAAGAGCAGAAACTCTCTAACTCAGATCTTAAAAGGGGTCTAGCAGACTGATGGGTGAGCCACAGCTAAACCTGGAGACCCTGTACCTCCGACAGTTACAGCCGTTGTCAAGTACTGTACTTGTGTAACATTAATTCTACTCCACTACAATTCTAAGGTGAATTTGACACCACTACATTTATTTAATACCTTATTTTACAGATTTGGATTAATGATGTGAAATATAATCAACACTTAAATCAGACATTAGTTACACCTGGAGTAAATTCACAAGCTACCCTGCAGTATACAAAGTCATTCAAACTAGCTGCACCTTTACCAGCTTTGATAACACTTTAATGATCAATAATTATAATCAAAACATATAATACATATTATTCTGAAAGAGGCAGATCTGCATAATGAGTAGGGCTGCTCAATTAATCGTATTTTAATCGCAATTATGATTATGGCTTGCAATGATTAAGAAAACAACGTAATCGAAATAAAACGATTATTTTTTTATTATTATTATATATATATATATATATATATATATTTATTTTTTTCAAATTAATTTAGTTTTTTATTGGTTTTTCAGTTGAATTATACTTAAAGTTCAGGGTAATCAACTGTTAAAAGCATACTGTTCACATTTTTTTCTCCAATAAATTGATGTTTTCAAAGTAAATGGACAATCGTTTTTAATAATCGTGATATCAATTATTGACCCAAATAATCGAGATTATGATTTTTGCCATAATCGAGCAGCCCTAATAATGAGTACTTTTACCTTTGGTACTTTACGTATATTTAGATGCTGTACTTTTGTACTTTAACTTGAGTAACATTTTGAATGTAGGACTTTTACTTGTAACAGACTACTACACTCTGGTACTTCTACTTTTACTCAAGTACAAGATCTGAATACTTCTACCACCTCTGGCGGTGGTCCAGCTCTATATTGAATGATCACTCCCACCCTCTGCACTCAGAATTTAAGCTTCCTCCTTCGGGCCAGAGGTTAGTTGTCCCAAAGTGTAGAACAAAGCGGTATAAAACAGCTTTATTCCGGCAGCCATCGCACAAAGGAATAAGTCGTAGCAGTGTCACACAGATGCCTATTTATTAATTTATTAACTTCTAATGCCAATGTTTTTACTACTGATCTTTGTTTTTAGATGTGACAGAACAGGGTGTACTTTTACTAGAGATTTGTCTGTTTTCTGTGTTGTCTTTATATCTGCAACCTAAATCTACCTACAGGTACCAATAGATAACCTGAACCTGATACCAATAACTATGAGTGACATCCCTCAGAATAGGTAAGCATCACATAACATGAGTGGCATGCCATCAGCTACGTTTCAGCATCTCTGACTTGGAGGTCCTTGGTGACTACGGTCTTACAGTCTTTATTTGTGTTGCACAATTTACCCAGTCACTTACATATTCACGTTGAGTTTTCCCAGCACTGTATCCGTGGATAGTTGGAGCTTGAAACGCAGCCGCTCCTCCAGGTCAGGAAAGTCTCTGAGCGGTGTGTTGGAGATTTGGGTGTTTGAAAGCGCTCGGGACTGCTCCGCCAAGTTACCTAGAGACACCATCAGGGGGCTGCATTCGGCCAACACACTCTCCCATACTTTCTGGTTGTTTTCAAGATTCTGGAAGCATTTCCTCAAGGCTTGATGGAGTGAAAGTAGCGCAGGTTTGGACATTTCAGGTGTTGATTTAAGACAACAGTTGACCACAACATTTAAATGTAAAATGAACAGATCCTAAAATGATGTTAGTCCGTTTCGGATTGACGTGCTCCTTGAATATGATATGTATAACCCTTAAAAATTAAGGCAATATTAGCTGCTAGGTCAAATCACATTTCCACCCATGTTTCTACCATGCCTGTATCCATTTCCGTCCTGCTGATGTAAACACTGACGTTTGCTGCTGTGATTGGTCGAGAACCATTTTTCATGACGCAAAGCATACACGAATTTTAATTGGCTGACTTTACCCCTGGCCCCTCCTCGCGCGGACATTTGAAAACGGCTTTGTGAAGAAGGAAGAAGAGATACGAAGAAGAACACCCAGGTAAGAGAACATAATTATAATACGAGGTCGCCATGACCAAAACGGATTATTAAGAGGGTTGTTATTAAATGTTTGTGCGTGGGAAAGAAGCTGACAATTAAGGAAGTCAGCCAAATTGCAAGGTAAACGAGTAACCTCGCTAACTAAGTAGCACAACAAGTAACGTTAGCATTTACTGTTAGCTTGCTAATGTTAGCGTCATGTCGGCGGTTTCTTTGCAAAACGCTCGTTGTAGTTATAATAATTTGACGTAACTGATATAGTAAAGCCACACTTTGTAACTCGGTAATATTTAGTACTGTCTCGTGTTGTCAAGCGTGGTTTCATTTACTTTGTTTCAGACATGGCTCCCAGGAAAACAAGGACGACGGCCAAGGCAAGGAAAAATAGCCCCAAGACGGCTAAGCTAGAAGCCTTCCTGGAGGACTTCGACAGCGAGGGTGATTATATTTCACGTATTTTACACTGCAATTTCAATAGTGTTTCATGGCAATCCCTGACAGGCTTGCTGTATGTTGCGGAGTACATCTACTTTCAAAATGAAAAACGAATATTCGCTGCTGATTACTACCGAATATCCGGAGCCCGAAAAATGGTATTCGCGACAGCCCTAGTTTGTACTTGCCCTGACACTGCAAAGTTGAAAAATAAAGAAAGCAGTAGTCTTCTCTCCTTTCTTATCTATACCTCAGACCTTGCTGTAAAGCAATACCTTTTTTAATCTTTGGTTAACATATATGCCAGTAAAATAAATGAAATCAGCTTATATTATTGATCAATCAGGATAATATAGTATAAGACTATCTTTACTGGTTCATTTTCATACAACTGGGCATTTTAAAGTTGTAGTTTGTCAATGTTGAGACAATGTTAGCTTCTTTATAAACTAGTGGAGTAAGCTAAAACTATTTTGTTATGTTTCACAGTGAAGACCAGAGTGGAACAGATGAAGGAGAAGCTCAACCATATGCTGAAAGACGTGGACAACGGCTATAATATGTGGCTAATTAAGCTCCCAAAGTCTGTCCGCCAAATGCCCTGGATAGAACTATTCAGTGAGTTTACAAAAACAGTTGGATATTAGTCCAACCAAACCAAAATCCCAATTCACAAAATGTGGAATACTGCTGATCTGGTGTTTTTCACTCCTTGAACATGTTAAACGATCGTATGATATGCCCTGGTGTTACATTAATTGTTTTATCATTGCAACTTTATTAAATAAATGTTTCCTTCTCTACAGAATCTGAGAATACAAAGTCACCAGAAGTGGCGAATGTTAGTGTAAGTTGATTGTTTTACTTATTATATCATGGATTTGCAGGTTCAGTTTCTATTTGGCATGTTTAGACTCACCTCTTTCTCTATTAAACACTAATTTAGTTCTTAATAAATGTCTCCAACAGAGAGAAGAGGAAGCTGCTATTGTTGAGAGCATTGTGGCCGAGAACAATCCAGCCCTTTTCAAATCAGTAAAAAAAGGCATGTAAAAAAAAAAAAAAGATGTTTGGTTTACATTTGAAATATTTTTAATTCAATAAATAAATGTATGAAGTTGATTTAATCCTATCTATTTTGTCTTCAACCCACAGCAACAAAGAAATCAACTAAATCCACTTCGGAAGATGAAAACACCTCGGGCACAACACGGAAGGTAATGGATGATTTTGATTTAAGCAAGCATACAAAGAGGAAAACCCAGCTGAGTGTTTGAGAACATCATTGATATAAATATGGAGAGTGGGTGGTTGCTATGGAATGTCCTTTGTGTGCAATGTTCAGTTACTGGTGTTTAACGGCTTGTTCCTAATTCAGGCGAAAGCAACAAGGAAACCTCCAACCACATCAAAGAAAGCAAAGGCCCTGACGGTCCGGCGGTAAAGTGGTTCATAATCTCTTTTAGGGCAAAATGATCAATATCATTTAAAAATACATTGCTTTGTAAAGAACGCCATTTTCTCCCAAATTGTTTTCATAAAATATTTTAAACAAATGTATATGTTCATCATCTTTGTTGTGTTGGTCAAACTAGAAGTATTTAATGCTTGTGTATAGTGAATAATACAGATTATCTGAACTTCTTTTATACTGAATAGCAATATTGGTCTCAAAAAACCTCTGAGATTATTTCCACATATGGTCCAGCCCTTATTTCTTTAACCTTTTGCACATCTGGTTGGCAATTATGTCATACTAAGTTGTCTCTATCTGGTTTCAGATCAAACAGGAAGCCAATGATCACTCCTGCAAGGAATATGGATTATTCTCTGGCGATGGGAGCCACTCCCCTCATTACCCCACGCTTTGATCCCAGGTAAGCAGGCTTCATAGTTAAAGCTGCATTTAAAAATGCATAATCATATTGTCCCTGTTTCTGCATTAAAGGCTGTCTCACTACCTGTTAAGCATAAATCATATTGGCCTCCTATTGGCATCAATCAAATTCTGCTTAAGGGAAGTCTGCTGGTTGGGTTTAAACGTCTCTCTCAACCTATATGAAGTGATGAATAAAACCCAAAGCAATGTGGTTAAATGTAAGCAAGTGCCTGCTTTATCCAGCTGTCCTTGCTTTTGATGTGCTATATTCAGTATTTTACATTGTGAAATGCCTGTACTGTTATTGCTCTTAACTGTTAGGCTAGTTGTTATTTTTTTTGAAAACAGGCAAATAAACACCCTAACTATTGCATCAAATCCCAAGATAACTTTTAAAACGGTTTGGGTTTTGTAGTTCTTATCTGCAGGTAGATTAAGCATCTTTAGATGTTTTACATTATGTGGGCATTAGAGACTTGTTCTCATAGCAATGTTACTAATTCTGTTTGACTGGTGAAGTATAGCATTCGACATACTTATCTCATCTTATTCTCCTTCTTCCGCCACAAATATTGTCATGCTACTCGTCCGGCAGCGTTGACACGAAACACACGAAAAACACAAATCGCAGAAAACTGCGATCATTTGCCCCATAGGAGCGAATGGGAAATCCATTTGAACGGAGCTAAAAAAACACCCCACTTTGACCCCATACAGATTCCGCACACTTAAACGTAGAACAAAAATGACTAGTTTAATAAAGTCCATAGTCTCGAGAATCGTTTAGACTAATTTCTAGTAATTTTCTAGTTTTAAATGCCGCTGTAATGGTGCAACTAGTGCAATTGTTACTCTCTAGGACAGGGGTGGGGAACCTTTTTCCTCTCAAGGGCCATTTCAATTTTTTCAACATCCTCCGAGGGCCGTACAAATGATTGACCTCTGCTTAAAAAAACTAAAATCACAGCCCATTCATTTGGCCTTTCTTTCATGCTGTGCAAAGAAGAAGCAACCTCTTAATCCAGATATCTTAACATGACTCGCGTATGTATGCACGTGCACGGTTGTGGCATGACCACCAAAACAGAAAGATATGGACACAAGATGTGTGCAAATGTATTTAGTTTCCTATCCATGTGGACATGATTTAAGTGGGGGGGGGGACCTAACCTCCTATTTTTTTACTGTCATATAGTATTTTATACCTGTTTTTCCTTTATTCTCTTATTTTTTTACAACTATAATGATCATATAAAGATGTGCCTTTACCTCACTGGTTGTAGAAAAAGCTTCTTATATTCGTTAGCATAGCTAGCTAACCAGATGCTAATAACAACAAAGTTATTGACTGTATGACAGATGAACAGATCGCCACTGGGCTTTCAACTAAAGACACAGCCACGCAAAAACTGCGGCATGTGTACGGCTCCTTATGGATACTGCAATTTTTGGAAGTGCAGTTCTGGTGCTCTCCGTCAGCACTACACCCCTGCAGACGAGACATATACCACGTGATGACACGTTAAGCTCGTGTTGTGTTCAAGGACCCTGACCGTGGCCAGGAAAAACAAGCACTCGCTTGTTTAATTTTTTTGCGGTCTAGAGTTCTTTTTAGAGTTTTTTTTCTTTTTTGCGTGTGTTTATAAATTACCTCGAGGGCCGTATACGGCCCGGGGGCCGGAGGTTCCCCACCCCTGCTCTAGGATCTACTTTTAACTCGGAGAGATTACACACAGGCTTCCAAAATGCTCACCATTAAATCCTTATTTGCTCAGACTTCCCAAGACCCCCGCTGTGAGGAATCCCCACCACAAAGAGAGGGTTTACAGCATCTCAGTCAACGGCTCGCCCATCGCAGCAGGAAATAATGAAGACATCGTCATCAACGTCCCCATCGGCAACGGAGAGGTGAGCTTAGACTTTTGGATCCTAAAGGACATTATTATACTTCCAAGTGTGCTGTGTAATCCCTGGCCCCCTGCTGTGAAGAACAGAGGGAAGCCTTTCTCCTCTCTCACTGGGTCCATCAGTGTTTCCCCTAGGATGGAGTCATAGCAGCGGTGCTAAGGCGCGTGGGCCCAGCATAATGTGAGCGCGGAGCGCATGGAATTTTTTAGTGTGTGCGAAGTGCGCCCCGCCAATTTGTTTCTATGTGTCTACCAGCACAAGAAAGGCTCTTGAGGCCTAGTACCAGGGCCGGTTCTAGCCAATTTGCTGCCCTAGGCGAGATTTTATATATAAAGAATAAATGAAAAATCTCTACAAAAGACAAATACACTACAAAAACAGAAACTTATTGACATAGGTAATATACGTCAAAATGGCTTCAAATGTATTCAGTATTGTATGAACATGTTTTAATTGGGGGGTGGACATCACCTCCTCTAGGGGGGTCCGGGGGTATACCCCCCCGGGAAGACTTTTTTTAACATTTTAAAGTAAAATGCTTCGATCTGGTGCACTTTGAGCACACAATTACTAGAGACCTGATCTAGGGGGTACAACTCTAAACACCGATATGAAAAAGATCGGTTTACATTTTAATAATCAATAAGTATGTGAACATAACAAATAACCTACCATAGCCAATAACAAATAAATGTAACTTATTTTACCAGTTAACATTTATGCATATTTTTGTATCTCTCCAACTTTAACCTGTTACGCACCGCCCCCCCCGGTACCGGGCGGATAAACGCGTCATTTGCAGGAAACAACGTCTAAGGAATCTTAATATTTAATAAACTATGAATGTTTTATATCCATGTAACGGGAAGAAACTCAGCTAACTGATCTTTTAAAAAAAAAAAAAAAAAAAAACCACAATGCTAACACTCAGCCTCTGAATTAGCCACGAGCGAAAAAATGTAACCTATCACTGTACCTAAACTCACTCATAACTCCCTTATTACTTATCCTAGATGCACAGCCAACCCCTCGATTAGCATCTCCTGGAGACACAGAATCGTTTGGTGCCCACCTCAACACTCAGTGATAAACATTTGCGACGCTATAAACGAAAGCGTACATCAAAACATGTGGTGCTAGGTAGCTAGAAACGCTAACATGGCATACCTTGGTCAAAACTGGTCTTCAATGGCATTAAAACGATAAAAAAACTATGCTGCAGTTAATCCATAGGTTAATCCAATGTATCTGTGCCCTCTTTGAAATGATTTCTGATAATCCATAAGCAATAAAACTGCTTTTTCGTTTCCAAATGTCAGAGTGAGAGATCGCTTCACTCTGGTGCAAACCTGCATGCGGGAAGCCCCCACCGTTTGTTTTCACAACGAGTGTGTGTGGGGCCCCCCCCCCCCCCTCCTTCGATTCTATTGGCTCTAACGGTCAGAAAGAGGTGTCAACCATCCAAATCGACCAAGGGGGGCCAGAGATATGGAAAAAAAAACATTTTCACCCAAATCACCTCAGAGGTGGAGTGGTTTTGGCTAAACCTCTCTAAAAAGGTCAAATGTCACTTGTTTTGCATCAATCTTGATACAGGGTACTTGTTTTATGTTGTACTTTGGATTCCTAAAGCTTTTAGTCTACTAACCCATCATCCAAGGGTAGTTTTCACTATAAGTAAAAAATAATTTTTGGACAGACACTATAATTTACAATTTTTTACTATGTAAAATCTGAATTTTCTTTAAAATAAAAAACATCTATATTGATTCTGACACTTCTACATCCAACTCACAGATGTAACCTTGCTTTGATAAAAGAAATTATTCATATAACCCTTTTAGAAGTTAAGTTGTAGTCATTTGTTTTGGGCATGTCATTTTCGTACATACAGTGGCAATGTCTCAAGATTTAGCAAAAATACACCTTTATTGAACATACAGTAACACAAATACTACAAATCCACATAACAATCGAAAATGAAAAAGGGTCGCCACTTATTATTATTTTAATAAAATAAAAAAACTGCGCCGCCGCTATTTGTATAGAGGGGAAACACTGGTCCATACGGTCTAGATGTTCAGGCATCAAGACAACTGCTTACTAACAGTTGTCAGAACTTTAACATTGTTATTTTTCACATCTTGTCGATTAAAGTTTGTTAATCTTTATTTATATATAATAATCAAACTTGTCGAAAATATTAGTTTATTTTGTCATTCTCAGTCATAATTCAACACAGTCTCACGGCATTTCGTGTTATAGTCACGAAATTAATCTATTGATTCGTGTTCACCCACACAATTTCGCCATTTTTTTCGTGTCACACAGAACGATTTTAAAAGCAATGTAAATAATAACAAATTAGAAGGAAAAAGACTTTAAAAAAAAATACAGATTTAAGTATTCTGACACAGAACGATTTTTAGAAGCAATGTATTTATATTGGTAGTATGTTTCGTGCCTGCACCAAATAACAAATTAGAAGGAAAAAAAGATGACATAAAATACAGATTTCAGTATTCTGAGGCGCTGAGCCCCATTTCTTTTCCTCACTGACGGCAAAAACACTCATACATTATACAATTTAACATAAAAGGGATAGGGTTAGGCTTAGGGTAAGATATTGAGTAAGAACATGTTTTTATGAACCACACAGCTTCTGGTCTTCCAAGACCCGACCGGACAAAAAGACGTGTTGCAGGCACGAAACATACTACCAATAGAAATACATTGCATTTAAAATCGTTCTGTGTGACATGAAAAAAATGTGAAAATCGTGTTGGTGAACACAAATCAATAGATTAAATTAATTTCGTGACTAATAACACGAAATGCCGTGAGACTGGGTTGCATAATTACAAGGAAATGACACACTCCACGACAATACAACACTGAGGAACATCATGTATTTTTAGATTTATTTTTATTTTTAGATAAGCACATTGTTAGAGCTGCACTATTAAAAATATTATAATTGCAAGTCGGCAATATTTGTTACAGTTCAAATATGTGTCAATATTATTCTGAACTAAAGATGTTGGTGCTGGATAGATGTCCCCGCCTTAAAAATCGTATTTTACAGACCTAATAAAGTACGTTTGTTTGATAGATCCTTTTTATCACACCATGATCATTATAAATATATCTTTCAATGATGATGAGAATAATGATGAAAATGATTAATCCTCTCTATCGTGAATCATAACTGCAATATCAGTCGAAATAATCACAATCAGTTATTTGTTCCAAATCGTACAACCCAATGTTTTTCTTTGTATATATGACTTCTGATCTGTAATGTGATGTGTCTCTGCAGAGTGTTCAGCTATTGGCCAGCCAGATGGACTCTGTGGATCTGTCTCTGCTGGATGAAACCGCTCTGAGGAGCATTCGTCAGCTGAAGGTATATTCATCCCTTATGTAATGTCACTATGGAACTGTTTCACCTCAACATTCAATGTATGAGGGGAGAAATGTATGCACATGCTTTTGATTCTCATCATTGTTTATTTCCCCTCTTGACAGAATCGCCTCACCGTCCTGTGTGGAACGGAGTAACGCTACCGCCTGCTCTCGTCTTGTACATTACTTAAAAAAAAAAAAAAAGTGTATCTTTATTTCAAACTTTGTTTCCTCATAGTTTGATATTTTTATTCTTATAGAGGAGATACGTGGGTTTTTACAATTTGTATTTTATTGGTTTCCTTTATTAGATATTCTAAAGATCATACTGTTACCTTTGACTTTTTATTTGGGTTTAACCGCCTTTGTGGAATACTGCACAACTGTCTGTCATTCAGGTGTTTTCCCCAGACTTTTATTCATGTTAGCAGTCTATTAAGGTGTGTTCTTTTAATTATAAACCTTGAAAGACCTGACAGGTTTGTACTCATGTACTGCAAATATGAATAACTATTCATTCTTTGATTGTCAGTACATTTTAATACTACATGTTGTTTCATTCCGTCATTGGGAAATAAACAATCCTCCATGTACATATCACAGATTGTTTGCAAAAACTGATACAGGATCTTGACCAGAACTTTGTGTGATGTGTTTTATTTAGGGTAGAATGTGTTGGTTGATGAGTGTGGATGTGGAGCTTGTTCCAAATAATTCTGTATTTGTAATTTCATAAGATATTTTAATTATGTTTATGTAGAATTTACTGGACAGGTTTTGTTTTTTTCGACAATTCTGTTCACCAAGCTGTACCGCTGCATGGTGACCAGGAGGTGGAAGCAGATCACCACACCAGTGTGTAGTCTTGAATAAACAGAGCAGCCGTTGGGATTGTACAGAAGTATTATCAGCACTCAAAGTATCAAATGTTAGTAACCCATTTGGCAGAATGGCTATTGTAACACATACATTAATACAGAATATAACTTAGTTTCAATCACAAACAAATACCATGTAGCTTGTCAATGTAGAGCCAGTTTAAAATACGTTGTATACTACTGAATAGAGCATACAACTTTCCAACATTAAGATTGTTACATAAGTATTGTACACAAGTAAACATTTGAGGTACCTGTACTTAACCTCACATCTATTAACTACTTATATTTTAACCTTTACTACATTTATTTGACACCTTTACAATTCCTTTATGGATTCAGATTATTTTGCTAATACATCATATAAATAAACATTGACATAAAATTGTTTTTATATTGATAGGTTGAAATGTCCAGCAACAGCATACAAAGTAAAGAGGCTCAGAATTGACCAGCTTTGATAGACACTTATGCATAACAAATTAATAATCCAGTAATATCATTTATTTGTCTCTAAAATGAGCCATTGCCCATAACATATTACTTCTTGTAATGTTGGTGTATTTTGATGCAAAATATTTATTCTTTTACACTAAAGATTTTTAATGCAGGAGGTTTTTGTAACCGGATATTTGTCGTCAATTAAACATTTCTACTTTTACTTCTTTGGTTGTAGAAAATCAGAGTACTTCTTCCACCTCTGTCCTGAGTAAAAACGTAGTTTCATCTCACCTCTGAGCATAACAAACTCTGGCTTAGCTAATGCAAGAAGTTCCTGTTGTCCTTTCACTACTTTGTTTACACGGAGGGACTTTAGTTTGGTCATGTGACCTGCTGTTGGCAGGAAGTGGCAGCTTGGCACAGGTACCTGCACTCTGACCTTCGGGACATCATACCGCAGCCAATTAGAATCCCGTTTAGCTTCGTTAGGCCTGATGAGCTCGTTAGGGTTTCCACCTGGGATAAACTGGGTCAGCCTGGCCTCACCTTGGGCCAAACCAGACAAGTATAACTCTTTGCTATCCCCGCTGGATCCTCATGCATCATATGCTACCGGGCCCCTGCATGGGACCTCTGTGCCCCCGGCTGAAAACGGGCCCCGGTCCCTTCCATCTGTATCCATCTTTGGCGCTCTATCATCGCCTGTCTCTCGCTGTGCAAACTGTGTTGCAGAGGTACAAACCAAACTCTGCATCCCTACAAACGACAGATGTTGTGGTCAGCGGTGCGTGCAGTTCAGCTCCCTCGTTAGCGGAGCAGCGAGCCCTCGCGCACCTGCTCTACATATCATAGCATTTTCCTACTTTTGCCTCTAAATGGATTGGATCCTTTTTTTTCTCCCTTTCTCTAGGTGGGTGGAAAATTGCCATTTTGCACGGATGGCTTGGTTTTCAGTAAGCACGCAGGCAGTGGCGCAGTGACAGGTGCGGTATGGATGGGGCGGATTCTGAGGTCACAGAGCAACACTGCTACATAAATCATCCGCTGAGACGTTCAGGATGAGGGACCGGAAGCTGATAGTGGAAGGCACAGAATAGCAACGCTTCAATAAAAAGCAACTCTGTTTTAGCAACCCGTATCTGTGTAGGTAGGTCTAAACCAGTTCAAGGAATAATACACTTTAAAGCAGCAATTTTGTTAAATTGGTTTCGTTAAGCAGTCTCTAAAGTGACTAATCAATATTTTTGTATTTCTGACTGCTGTAATATATCCCTTTTTAAACTGAGGTACAGCAGTATCAACTAACCACTGCCAAAATGGCGGCAAACCATTTATAAATATAATCCAAATCTATATAGCTAATTTAAACAAGCCAACCCTAACCTAAAGTCAGTTTGTCTCTTGCATCCTTTGGCAATGTAGTTTCTTACATAGTATGCAAGACAAAAGGGAAGCTAATTAAAGGTCCCCTATTATACTCTTTTACAACAATATATAATAGGTCTCATATATTCAAAACATGTCTCTGAAGTGTTTGGCTCGAAAAACCGAACAGATCATGCATTGTAGCATGCCATATACTGTACCCCTCTGTTTCAGCCCTGTTTAAAAAGTGCTGATTCTGTGTCTGTAGCTTTAAATGCTAATGAGCTGCTGCTGGCCACGCCCCTCTACGAGGTTTTTGGTTTTAAAAACCACAATGGTGCTCTAGGAGGGGATTCAGGTGATAAAATGGTGTTTCATTGGTTGGTTAGTGGCTAATGGTTGCACAGCCCCAAAAAACATTGTGACATCACTAAGTGGCCAAAATCTGATCAGCTCATTTTCAGACAGATTTTTATATAGATGGATCAGGACCAAAAGAGACAGATTATTTTGTCCTGAAACTTTCAGAATCTCTTAACGCAGGGACACACATAATTATGTATAAAACACATGAGAAAGTGGATTTTGCATAATAGGTGACCTTTAAGGGACATGTATGTATCTAGATGACATTGTGAACTTTATATTCCAATAATATGTTTAACACTATAACCGCCAGGGGTCGCTGTATACCTAAAACCGCCAACGGGTCAAATGTACCCGCTATTAGAATGCATAGATTTTCAAGGTACAATGTTCTTTTATTTATCATACTAGAACACAGGGTTAACAGTGAGTTTTGATCGCACAGTGATGAAACTTATACCAATAGAATCTGTGGACTCTATCTATCTAGTTTGTGCAGATAGCATGAAGTATAAAATATAGCTACCGTGAGAAATGTGTCTATCTATTAACACGTCATGTTTATGTTTACGCGCAAAATCAATAGCGCGAAAATCACTGCATTTTCTATAAGGTAGCCTAAATACCCGCTGGCGCTTATGATATGGTATAAATGGCATAAATGGCCATTTATTTGGCAATTTTTTCAATCTGACTTCATGTTGACAATTTTTAACAACAGAGGGTGCTACATAACACACTTTCAGGAAAAGTCATGGACTGGGACACTTGAATATTTGATTGAAAAAAAGTTACATACAATCAAGAAACAGCTGCGGGTAAAATGTACCCGTTGGCGGTTCTAGTGTTAAAAGGCTGAAGTTCTGTTTACAGTATGATGCCAAAACAATCAGATAACACTGCTTAAAGCTGCATTTAAGTTACTTTTACCTTTTCTTTACCAACCTTATTGTCCCCTTATTCCACAATAAGTCGACTCCTCCCACCATTACCCGTGCTAACCTCATACTACCTCAGACTCTCATTTTGTATTCCTGAAATCTGTTATCATTAACACATGTGTCTGACACATGATTGTGGCGTATTTCTCAACAAAGCTGTTCCCTCCCCTAACTGCTGGAGCCGTTGGTTAATTGAGCCTCCAGACTTGGGGGAAGTGCCAAATTTGCTGCCAAGACGAATGAACCTGGCAGAGGAATGTTCTCCAAGCGAAATTAATTCTTTGGTGCGTCCATGCCTTCTATAAATCCCATCCGTCAAGTGCCCCACTAATCGATTTATTCATGTGCCCACACCTTCGTCTGCCACTGCCTCTCACTCAATTCTCACAGAGCCATCCACGGTCAAGACTCATCTTGCACTAAGTTGGTTTGTCAGAGCAAACTAGAAATGCTTTGTTCTGTGTGCTCTGGAGATGGAGAGTAAGGAAGACACAAGCTGATGGTAAAGGGAAGTGGCAGACGGGAGGAACAGTTAAATGGGACTGAACGGCCCCCACATGATGCATTCTGGGCATGTTTTCGTCTGGTGGCCAGCAGGGTCCTGATGGCGTTCAGGCACCCCTGACGATAGGCGGGGCGGATAGGAACATCTGCTGCCAAAAAAAACCCATTTGAAATGTAGTCCTAGAAAAGAACAAAGTACACTGAGCAGGAACTTAATGCCATTTGCTGATTGCACAGAGACAGAGTTTTCCTTCGCAGGGCCCCTTGTCGGCTCTGAAATTCAAACCTTTGTCTATGGCAGCTTTTGTTTGCACTGGGCACCACAAGAAGCTAGACAGAAATCGAACCTTTGGTCCAAGAAAGTTATTTTTAAGAAAACCTAGCAAAAAGCTCTTGCGTATGCTGAAAATTGGAGGTGCAAACAGTACAATGAGGGTTATTCTTGGAATGTCTGTATGTGAGTGCCATCATAACTTTTTTTCTATATAACCTTTCAAAAACAAAGTTACAAAATGTTTTACGATTAAAACATGATAAAAGCTTTAAAGGGCCAGTGGGTAGGGTTTGTGAGGCCCATGAGCAAAAATTGAATATATTATTCATAGCTATGTTTCAGTGTATAATCACCTGAAGAACTGGTTTGTTTTCGTAACATTAGAATGAGCCCTTGGGAGGGGAAATGCGATGCTCTTAA